GTAAAAGTGGAAAATTTTAGTTTTTTAAATCAAAAATTTCAAATTCCTTGTAAAAGCAAAAAACTTCAGTTTTTCTAGTTTTAATTAAAATACTTCAATCGAGAATTGATATTTTTTTCTCAAGATTATTAACTCATTAGGAATAATTAGATCAATAAAAATTGATTAATTGGATCTGTCATTTTTATTTATTATATCTTTCCTATGTATGTCACCATAATTATTTATTTATTGACTTCCCAATTATTTTTTCTCCCTTCTTTCTTCATTCTATCACGTTAATCAAAGTTATATTCATTTTGCTAATAATTAAGTTTTTTTCAGTTTATATTTTAATTTCATTACTCCCACTGAAATCATTTCATTCCTAGTTTTTAACAAAACAATCAAATTTCAATGTTTTTTTTTCCTTTTTTTTACATTGCTAATATGCTTGCTTTAAAACATTCAAACAAATGTCCGTTTTAGCTATTACAATTTGTAACAAAGAAAAATCAAAGAAACTTTTCTTAATTTTTTCAATTTCTTTACCATTTTTTCTCATAAAAGAAATCAAAACTTCAACCTTTAATTTCATTTCATTCTTTATGTTTTATTTTTGTTTTCTCCCTCCCTCTCTTTTTTCATATTATTTGCATTCAAATTTTTAAATTTCAATACTCTTAATTGCAATATTTAATTCTTTTTTGTCAGCATAAAGTTGGAAATTAAATTGAATATCTGTTACATAAAATAATCATTATCATTTATATACACAATTTAAAAAATTTTTTTAGATATGCGCATTTTTTCAATATTTAGAAGCATAAAGCGAAAAACAAAACGATTCTTTTTATTTAATTTTTTTCCATAGTTCATCTTTAATCTTAAAATTTAATCCCTTGTAAAATTTAAACTTTCAAGCTTTCAAATTTTCTATATTCAATGCTTAGCACTTCTTTTCCACCTTTTTTTCTCTTTTAAGCAAAAGACAAGAAATGTCGTATTTTCAATTTCAACAGATTTTTCTCTTAATTTTTTTTTTTGTTTCGCCCTTCTCTAATTCTACACATTTGTTAAAGTGAAATTTTTATAATTTTAAGTACAATATACTTTTTTAAAAATTATCTTTTAAAAATGACATAACTTCATTTTTACTAAAATTGGATACTCAAAAATTCAAAATAATGATTTACAAAAAATATTTTTGATAAAAAATAATATTCAATGTTAATAAAAACATTGTTAAAAAAAGTTTTAATAAAAATTTTTTTTTTTTGTTAAGTTAAAAATGTTTAAAATAACAATTAATGAATCCATAATAATGGCGAAAGATAAATATTCTATCAGAATTGCTGGAAGGCTAGAAGAAGCATGACAAGGAACGATTAGGATGCATGATAAGGAGTGATAGGAAGCATGATGTGGGATGATTAATAAGGATGATAAAGGATAGCTGGGAGGCATGATAAAAGATTATTGTATATTGCTTTATCTTATTTGTTAATTCTATCAATTAAAAACAATTTAAAGTATTAGATCATGAAAATCATGAAAGCAGACCGTGATATCAAGCTGTTTAATCTGATTTGAAGTATTAAACAAAAATCAATTTAATTCTACCAGTTTTTCAGGCAATAATAGCTATTAAAATTAACAAATAATGTATAAATTTGAAAGTTAAGAAGGATGCATCAATTATTAGTTTCAAATTATAATTGATAATAAACAAATATTATCGAATATTTCTAATATAAATTACAATTCCAAATTGTTAATTGAAGTTGTGCGTTATTTACTTTTATTTTTTAATCACAATTACAATTACGATTATAAAAATAACTAAACTTATTTTTGGAGAAATTAATAAAATTGATTTCGGTCTTTTTTTTTTTTTTTTTAATTCTCCTAACATTCTGCCATTTTTTCATGAATTTTTTTTTTTTTTTTTTTTTTTTTTTGAGGGTGAGAGAGAAAGAAAGAAATGAATCTGAAAATTTTTATTAAACAAAAACAAATGACTAATAAATGGCGTGACGACAACGTGAAGCATTCATACGTTATTCCATTATAATAGCATCAATTTAAAGCAATATCTTCACTTCTTTTTTTGCTTTAAAATCCATCTTTCTTTCTCATTTAGGCCATAAGTGTCAAAGTATGTTACACCAAAGTGTAAACACATTCATTTTTCTCGTCTTCTTGCGACCATAAACTCAGGTTTTTTCCTCGCCCAAAAGCACTACAAAACTATTTTTAATATTGTAGAGGGTAATAAATTAAGAGTATTCCGATGTTTTAAACCATAATTCAATCTATAGAACAAAAAATATGAAGGAAATTGTATAATTATGGAACAAAATTAAGAATATTATTTAGGAAATTGATGTGAAAATTTTATGGCATTAACAATTTTTCATACCAATCAATTTCATGACAAATTTTTTAGTATGGGATTTTAGTTGTAGATATTTGATGAATTCAATAATATCCAAGCTCTGTTCAAAACCTGAGCTTTTCCTTTTGCTACTACTGTTATTATTTACTTTGTTTACACTTTTTTCCCTTTGTTTTTACTTATTTCTATTGTTACTGTTACTATCATTGTTATTATTGTTGTCGTTATTCATAAAAAATGGATAATTTTTTCGCTTTTTGTTTTAGTCATAACAACAAATTAATGAAGACAAAAAAGAAAACGAAACAAAAGAAAACGAGGAGAAAAGCAAGTAAAATACTAGGTAAGTGTAATTAATTAATTCAATAATCAAATCAAATCAATAAAATATAAATAATACATAACGAATAGAAATTAATGAATTCAAATTAAATTTTCCTTTAGTTTATGTTAAAAACTAAAGAAACAAAAAGAATAATTAACAAAATAACGAAAAAAAATGGAAGTAGAAAAAGAAAGTGGAAAAAAAAAGTGAAGGAAAAAATTTATAATTAGTAAAAAAGAAAACGAATTAAAAGAAAAAGGTTGAAAGGATTAGATTTCATTTTCAAATTTCTTCGTTTTTTCCTTTCCTCCCCTTTCCTCTCTAATTCATTCAATTCATTTCTCTTTTGATGAAAATTTTGTCTTTCTGAATTTTATTTTGTACTTTCTCCTTAATAAGAAATAAAAACGCTTCATCATTGAGTTACATCATTAACAATTTAATTGTAATCAAACTGATGGGTGAACGTTTGCGTTTTCACAAATGGAATATTAATCATTTAGCTGCTTGTTTTAAATTTGAAGGTTAAATTATTAAAAAGAAAAACTTTTAATCAGTTGTACTGACATGTTCATATTTGAAATCAAAATTTTCAATCTCATTTTCCAAATTCTTAAAAACCTTTTGAACGTTATAACAAACATAGATGAATATATTAAAAGTTTTTTTCAGAACTGAAGTAATTAAAAGCTATTTCGTAACAATTTAAATAATTAAATTTGATCGTTCTATTAAACACAAGTTAATGAGTTAGTGAGATTTGAATTTTATTTAATGAATGCATATAGAAGAAAAATATGACAATATTTTGGATTTTTTTAATATGTAAGTTTATGAGATTATTTATGGAAATTAGCTTAGGTTAGAAAAAAAGAATATTCTAGAAAAATAAGCTTTAAATTGCTATTAAATATCTAGCGCAAAAATCATTTATTAAATTAAAGAAAGAAAGAAAAAACATATTGATTCATTTTTAAATCGATTTTCTGATGCTTTCATTTATCCGGATTATTCTGAATCCCCTCATTTATTCGGATTATTTTTGATTGCTCTCATTTATCCAGATTCATAAACATTTTTTAACATTGAAATACATAATATTATAAAATAAAAAATGCGTTCAACAACTTTCAATTCAAAAAAAAGACAAAACTTGAAATTTCTCTTTTTAGATCAGTTAATTATTATCACTTTCATTTACATTTTGTCGATTTTTAACTAATGAAATAACGAAAAAATTTCTAAAATTTGCGAATAAATTATAAAACTATTCAAAATTATAAAACTATTAAAAAAATATTTTGAGCGATTACAGTTGCACTATTATAAACTTCAAAGTTTTAAATTATAGCAGAAAAAAAAAATTATTAAATTTATTTTTCCAAAAAAATTATTTTTGAAATAAAGAAGATAGGGAATTAAAGGAAAGTTATAGCATCGATAAAAAAGAGGCTAAGGTTAAAAAATAAAATTTTACTGGTTATATAATAACAAGCAAAAAACTAAATTTAATTATTTAATTACTAATGCTTAGTAATTCTTTCTAAATATAACTTTTTTAAAATTAACATTGCAAAGCAATTCAGGATTATATGAAGAAATTTTAAATCTGCACCAAGCAAAGAGCAAACTTAATTCTTTAAAAGTAATTTTGGAATGGTGCAATAATCAATGACTAAAATCAATATTAACAACACAAAATAAAACACATTGATTATTTCAATAAATAAATAAATTAATTTTTGAACTTGAAAAAATTGTCGTAAAGAAAGAAATCAGATACATATGATGTACAACAATGAAAAAGAATGAAAAAGACTTAGGTAAAACTTGAAAAACTGTTTGAACTGATAATATCAGTGATATCAGTAGTGGAAATTTGATTGAATGATTTTAACGATCGAATTGTATAACTGCCACAACCATTCAAATGTAACACTTTGTCATGAAATTTAATTAGTGATGGATGATGACCAATTGATATAAAGCCAATATTATTCTACAAACAAATAAATTGAATTAAAATCGGTAAAATTTGATTGCTTAAAAAAAATTTTTTTTTCAATCTGAAAAAAATTGTTGAAACTATTATTATAAAATTAAGACATTTAATATTTATATTTTGTGCAATAAATAAAAAAGATTAATTGAATTCTTTTCTTTTTTCTTTCCATAAAAAATATAAAATGAATTATATTTGATAAAACTTTTTTAATAAATAAATTTCTTTTTTCAATTCATATGCTTATCGGCAATTAATTGTTGTAAGTTTAGAAATTAAGCCAATTAAATAATAATGTAATGAAGAATATGATGATAGTCATGATAATATAATATAACTAGCTTAATAATTAATTACAATTAATCGTAAACAGAAATTTTCTAACTATAATCTTCAAGAAATTAGTAAGCAATTAAAACATTAAAAAATTTTGTCGATTTATTCAAAAAAGAAAAAAAAAAAAATTTACAGAAATATTTGATGGTCAGTAAAAATTTTCTCATTATATTTATTAACTATGAATTATTATTGCCATCATTTATTCTTACTATCATTTCCATTATTACCGTCATTATTACATTATTGTTAGAATTAAAGTTAAAAATTTTTACAAATATCAATTTCGATGTTTATTAGAATTATTTCATTAAATTTAGTAGTCATTAAATCTTCCAGTAAATTTAATAACCATATTTCAATAACTCATTAAACCATAACAATCATTTAATTTCTTGTTTGCCTTTTTCCCCAACCTTTGTTTTATTATTATTATTATAATGATTATTTTTACTATTATTATTACTTATTATTATTAATTATTATTATCACTTACCATTGTTCAAATTGTTACAATAATTATTAAACTTCTGCTGGAAAAACAATGCAAAAAAGTTTAAAAAATAAATTTGATAAGTTTAAAATATTGCCGAAATGAGAAGTTGATAGATGTGTTCCTCGATCTCTAAATCGATACAACTGCTTGATCCATCTAAAATCACAAGTTCCGGTTGTTGATAAAATACTCGCGCAAATGCAAGCCGTTGTTGTTCACTTTGTGTTAATGTATCTTGCCTAAAAACATAATTTCAAATTTTTTTATTTTTAATAGCTTAGAATAATTAAAAGTTTACAAAAGTGATGACTTCAAATTTTATAATTAAATTTTAATCAACCTTTATGTTTTAAATAAGCATTTAAAAGTGTAAAAAGCATTTAAAAGACAATGAATCGATAAATATTGTGATTTAATTAACCGATTAAGTAAATAAATTGATTAAATTAATTAATTAATTACTGAGTAAATAAATAATGTTACCATTCAAATTCGACCGGATTAAAAAGGCCTTCGCAACGTTCAATTAACCAATCAAGTTTTAATTCGTTTAAAATTTTAATAATAGATGCATAATCTGAAACGGGCATATATCATTAATAATTAAACAATAAAATTTTTCACATTTTTTCTTCATGTGACAAGAAAAAAATTAAATAAAATTATTAAAAATGATTATAAATTAGCACAAGCTAACTTTTAAATTAAAAAAGTCATTGTTACTAATATGTGTATACCACAGATTACGAATGTTATGAATAGCTGAAAGATGTAATTATTGATTAATTCAAAATAAAACTCCTATACACTTTTTTTCTGGCTATGAAAATATCAGATATGATTGATACACTGATAATATTAATATATCTGATAAAAATTACCATTATCAGTCTTTTCAAGACTATCTGAGATACCGGTTGCTGGAAAGCTAATTTGTTGAAACAAACTTAAATGACCACATGGAAAGTAAGCCGTTTGTGATAAACGTAAAATTTGTCCACGTTTTGCTCCACATTTAATATATCCTTTAAAAGAAATTAATATAAATTTATATGAAATATTTAGAATTCTCCTAAATATTTATTTAATAAACAGATAATCCTAAAATTTCACAAAGCAAATAATTCAATCTGATTAATTAAGCAGGTGTAATTATTTTATTCCGTACTAACCTAATTAAAAATTGTCTCTGTTTTTTTTTTTTTCAAACTTACAATTTATAAATAGAAGTAAAAACCAATTTTGAAATATTCACTGATATTTTTGTATAAAATTTCAATTTAAATCAATAATTGAACCACTTCAATTATTTTCTTTTTCACTAATCATCAGAACTAACTTTTTTTTTTTTTAAAAAAAAAATGCAAGTCAAATAATTTAAAAATACTCATAAAATTTTACCAGTTTCATGCCGCCATAATTGCGACAATACTCGAATAAGTGAAGTTTTTCCACTTCCATTAACACCTTTTATCCAAATTTTTGCATTCTTATTGATTAAAAATGAAAAATCTATAAAATTAATAAAATTTTTATCAATTCCAACCAAAATAAAAGTACTATTTCCAATAAATGCTGTGTTTTGTAAAATATTAAAAAAGGTATGGAAAAAAATAAAAATTTCAAAACAACTGAAATTTTTTCCTATAAATATATTATAAATTTCAAAATATTTCAAATTTTTAGTTAAAAAATAAAAAATGAATTCTGAAAAAATTGAATTGCAACAAAAACGAAGAAAATTAATGTAAAAAATTCTTATAACAGATAATATAATGTTTTAGTATTGCCAATGCAGGAATATATTAATTTCCAGAAAAAGAGAAAAGTTCCGAACGTTAAATTTTTTTCATTTCCTTCAACATTTATAATATTCATCTAAACTAATAAGTTATCTTGAAAAAAATTAAAAGCGAAAAAACACTTGGAATTCTGAATTTACCATTAAGTAAGTTTTGAGTAGAATAATAATTTGGTAATGAATAGCTAATCTTATGAATATCATATATCATATCACGATTCGTATCATCTTTTATAAATCTTGAATCAGCTAAAAAATTATTGCTACCTGTAATAATATAATTCTTCAAATTACAATTATATTAAATAAAAATTTAATTAAAAGAATTAAATTTATTTTTGCGAAAATATTTCATATATTCATAGTTCATAATGAGAGTAATGCATGGATTAGAAATTATTTAATTCATTTTTAGTTAGAATGATTAGAAATTATTCAATTTATGATATTTCACTGAAAATTGATTCCAGTTTGGAATTTAAAATTAGCAAATAATAAGAAATGCTGATTAATTATTTCTTCATTTAAAATTTCACAAATAAAAAATGCAGTGAGTTTTATGTGCAACAAATGCATCTGTTTGATCCAATTGATTAATTTTATTTAAAAGTAAAGGAAAAATTTGACAAAAATATTAATTCGTATTTTAGATCAACTTACTGCAAACTAATCTGACAAATTTCAACAGTTTTGTTTACTTCAATTTCAATTTATCTAATTAATTCCATCTGGAATAGTTTGAAAGTGTTAAAGTAAATTTTGTTTTCTGTAGCATCAGAGATTTTTAATTTTTTAACCCGAAAAAATTTAAATGACGTAATTAAAAATTTTAGTTTTACCAGTTCTATTATTGCCCATATGTTCGCATACACGAATTAATTCTGCCACGCTGAAAATAAAACTCTTTTTCTTTTTTTAAAAAAAAAAATTTGTAGAAAAATACAGATAAAAAAAAATGAAACCAAAAAAAAGAAAAAAAAAACCGATTAATAATCCTATCTTCAGATATTGATCGAATTTAAAAATTCATTACGAAATGTTTTAATTCACAAAAAATTTTTTTCTTTCATTTTATTTGTCAGATTAGTTCAATATAATAAATTTAATCTTTAATTTATAACATATTAAATAAAAAAAATGGTTGCACGTTTGTTTCTTCATTTCCCTTTTTTTTTCACACATTAAACAAATATGGAAGCGCTTATCTGAATCAAGCATGTGTTAAAAGTAATTCAGTTTTTCAGTTTTAATTCATTTTTAGTTTTATGATATACAATTTTATTAAATTTAGTTTGTCGTGAGAGCTTTTTCTCTCTTTAGAAATGATACAAAATTAATTTTCTAGCCGAAATTGTTATGTAGTGAAATATGCACCGACCGTTGTAATATGCCAGCCATTTCACCGGTGCTAAGTGCTACATCTGTTATTCGCGTAAAACTGTTGATTAGATACATGTAGACAAATGCATTCTAAAACTTTCATCTTTATATTTTAATCGATTTAAATTTGCGAAAGTTTTTCTTTATATGGGAAGCTATTAGTAAAATATATTATCTTAAAATTTTACGTAAAATATCCAGTGAACTAAATATTACTGATAATAATAATAATAACAATAATAATTGCAGTAATAATACTGATAATCATAATAACAATAAATAATGGTAATGATAGTAATCAGTAATAACAATAAAAATAATGATAAATTCTTAAATTAAAGTAAAAGCGAAATTTAGAATGAAAAAAAAAAAGGAAAGAAATCGTGAAACAAACATTGCTTATAACTCTTCCTAAATCTTGAATTGGTAAATCATCATATATTCCAGCAATTAAAATTGGAATAAATTGTATTGCATAGCATAAAATGCCGCCGTAATAATCGAAAAGTTGTTGCCAAACTAAAAATGAAAAATTCCGCTTTTTGAATTGAAAATATAGGATAGAAATTTTCATATTCTAAGTTAAGTTAAAATTCACTGGTAAAAAATATGAAATATTTAATTTGAGAATTAAATCAATATCTTCGAATTTTTATGTCGAATTTCGCAAACTTTTTTGTGAAAGAGTCAAAATATTAAATGATAGAAAAAGTGTAGGTGAACCTTACAATTTCTCAGGTTATATTATCAATATTATTACTTACTTACTATTGTTATTATTAATAATAATATTTTTATTGCCATTAGTATTATTACCACTATCTTTCGTTATTATTATTATTATCATGATATTCTGTGCAGTTATTAAAATAGTACTTCATATTGCAAATCGATCAACATTCTTATCGTTGAACTGATTTAAAATTAAAAGCTGTCATACGAAAAGCATCACTTCATCAAATTAAAAATGCATTTATTATTGGATTATAAACCTCATGTAATTCTAAAATATAATTAGTTCTAAAATAACATATTTCTAAAACTTAAACTATTACCAAAAAGGCACAATTCATTTCATATCCAGAAATAATATTGTTCCGGTTATTTCTGAACGACAAAAAACAATTCGTAAAAATTTTTTTCAATGAGCTTACATAAGTTTGGTAATTTCCAACATAAAAATTTAAATTGTCGCCACCATAATATCATAAATATTCGATTGGATTCATATTGCTCAAATGGTTCCGCTTCATATAAAGCAATTGATTCAGCATTATTTCGTATTGAAATATGCTTATATCTAAAATTAATTCGAGTTATAGAGTCATTTTCTTCTGAGTTTTCTTATTTAATCCTTTTCCTTAATGCGATACGAACATTTTGACTTAGAATTTAGCAGAAAGAAATTATTGTTTATTTCATTTGAAAAATGAATACATTCTGTAATTAATTAAATTTTATTTTGAGTCTTGAATTTTGAACGCGATATATCAAATAATAAATGTTTTTTTTTTCAATTTTGAAATAATATGTTGCTTTTTTTTTTGCTACAGTCATATAAACACACTTGTTTTGTTATTCAATTATTTTTAAATAAAGATTGAACTTAAATTTAGCATTAATAACACCAATAATTTTAATCATTTAATAATTACTTAAACTTCCTTTAGCTATAAAAAAGCAATAAACAGTTAAAAATATTTATGCATACAAATTAATTTCTTCTAATAGCACCAGAATTTTCATATATGTCAGGAAAAAAAATGCCTATTTAAACTTTTGCAAAAATCTAAAGAAATAAAAATTATTCCAAATAATTTTGTTGAATAAATTTTATAACTTATTATTAATATTAAAGATAGTATCAAATCGATTATTAATTTATTAGTATTTATACTGAAAAAAAGAGAAAATGAACAATACCCAAAATAAATGGTACAAAAATAAAAGATACCTGAAGTCACCTTCCGCTTTTGCTACCCGAGCATTCCATTTTACCATTGGTGACATAAGAAATTTGTTGACAATGGTGCCAACAACAAAATAACCATAAATAATACCAATACCCAAGCCACCACTACTAAATATTTTAAGATATTTAAACGAAATCAATTTGTATAAAAATTTTAATTGAGATTAAAAGTGCATTAATACTTGCAAGTACTAACTAACCAATTTTCCCACATAATTTTTACTCTTTTTTTTAAAAAAAAATTTAAAAAAATGAATCCAAAAAATTTTTTGCAACAAATTTTACATTTTTATGAAATAATTAATTTTTTTCACTAATGTGATTTGTTATAAAATGAAAAATTCAACTTTATTTCAGCTTTAAAGTTATTAAACTAAATAATGAGATCTAAAATTGCAAAAATTAGTTCTAAAAAAATTTTTTAATAAAAAAACTAGAAAACAATACAAACATACCAACCTGATATATGTTTTATAGGTATAGAAAGCAATAACAAATGGCCCAATAAGTATAGCAGGAATTATATTAATTGCTAATTGATTACAAATTTTTTCAGTATCTTGTGTAATACGTTGATCGCTATAATTAATTTTTTTAATGTAATTGATATTTCTTTTTTACATTTCCAATACATCATAGCAATTAATTAAATTATCAAAAAAAAAAAATTGAAATTACGAAAACTAAAACCACATTTAAAAAATTTAAAAGTAGAAATTATCAGAATTAGAAGAAAATTTAGAATATTGCATTATTAGTCATTTAATAACATTTATTTAATTTCATTTTTTTCAAAAAAAGAAACATTATTATATTAATTTTTAAATAATTATGAGTTAAAACAAAAAAACGAATTCTTTAAAAGTTGAAAAAAAAAAACTTTTTTTTCGTTTCGCAACTTTGTAAAGAATAATTTGAGAAATAGCAATAAATTTTATCTATGGTTTATGTAATATATTTCAAATGATAGAAATTAATTTATAGCAAAACTTTATTTGAAAAAAAATTTAAGAAGCAAAAATAAATTTTACCAATTGTTTGATATTTTCAATAGTTTCAGAAATAGAAATAAATTTTATCAATCGTTTATTTAGTATTTTCAAATGATAAAAATTAATTTACGGATTATCAATGCCGCAATCATCAATATTATTGATATTATAGTATGCATGATTACTGAAATAATACTGTTGCAACTTGATTACTGCATTTTTGCGCCAACTTAAATAAAGTTGCCACGATGTGAACGATTTCAAAGCTATCAACTGAAAATTAAAAAAAAAAAAAAAATCGAATAAAAAAGGTTTTACATATGATAATATTTATACCAAATTATAAATGAAAAAAGATTATAAAATTATTATGCCACTTTTTTTTGGATAAATCTAACATTAAATTTTATTAATCAGAAAAAGAAGTTGCTGAAATAAATAAATTAATAAAATTGTTCAAAATGAAGTTAATACGTTTGTATTTATAATTTACCAGTGTATTATTATTAATTCAGGCTATCATTATCAATATTATAATTATGAATTCAGGTGTAATGATTGCAGAGCCTATTAGGTCACCAAAAAATGTATGTCAAAAATTAGAATTATACAATAAATCATTGATAAAAGAAAGTTAAATGTGTAAACTGAAACAAATTGTATATAAAGGAATGATTAATTTCAAATATAATCAAGCTGTAATGAATTGAATTTGGAACAAAATTAAAAACATTTAAACAATTAAATTATTCACAAGCTAAATTGCAAAAAAAAAAAAAAAATGTTGAAATTTTTTCAGAGAAAACATTAATAAGCATCAAAAATATTTTATTTTTTTAATTTTTGAAACGAAAAGGAGAAAAAAAGCGAAAAAATATTATTTCAATAGTTTATTTACCACACATTTGCCAATATACGCAAGTGAGCCAGTCAGGAAAATATTCCAGAAATCCGGTTTACTTTTATCCACTAGTGCCTGATATATTTGACCTGGTATCATACCCGTTAAAAATGTCAACACTTCACCTATAAATCATTTTTTACCTTATTTTTGCTAATTAATTTGTTTAAATAAAACATACCCGTATTTATAATATTCTTAATAATAAGAAATTATTATCAAAAGGTGTTAATCAATTTTGTTTGTTTGTTTTATAAAATTATATTATGGATTAACAATTATTATTATTTTCAATTTTGAAATTTAGTTTTATTTTAAAAAATAATCATACAAGCAATTGCAAAAAAAAGTGTGGCAAACGTGAAGAGTGCAGCCCATTCGATACGTGGAAAAAGTATCTTTGAAATATCTATAAGACGTAGAAAAAAATAATAATCGAAATGAAAATCCATTTCATCACGTCGATGTTTTCCCATTTCATAGAACAATTTTTTTTAGCTATAAATTACAGCAGAAATTATTAATTGATGCGAATTTTCTAATAAATCTTGCCATTTGCAAAAAAGATTGATTAATTGACTAATTAATTCAATTTTTGAAAAAATTTATATCAATTCATTATAATAGTTTAAAGAAAGAAATTGCATTTTTCAAAATTTTGTGGTGAAGAGGACAAAAAAAGGTTTCAACGTTCCTAAATTTTTATTTTTTGCAATTTTTTAAATTAAATTTTTTAATTAAATTTATTTTTTACTTTCTTTTTTGAAAAAAAAAAAAAGATTGACAGTACTAGAATTATATACAACAAATGCGATATTAATTTTCAATAAATAATAAATTATTCAATGATACTTAATGATAGCTTCATTGATTATCATTGAATAAATTTTATTATATATGTTGATTTATTTTTATCAAAAATAAAATCTAGATTAATTATGCAATGAAACGATGAATAATTATTATAGAAATATTCAATTGGCAAATGTTTTACTGATAAATTTTAGGTTCATTTGATTTTTTAATCTTTACACAATTCAACATTCATTTTGCAACATCAACATTTCAAATGAAACATTGAATTGAATAAGTTTTAAACTAAAATTAAATGATAATAAATTAATTTAAAAAACTAATAATTGTTGTGAAATTAAATTAACTTCAAAAAATGACTGATCATGATGACTGGTTAGACGCAAAGTTATGAGTTTCATTCATTATTTCATCCAATATTATTTCAAAATTAATTTCGATTTTTTTGTCCATTGAATTAGAATAAAACTTTATTCATTTTTTTTTTAAGTGAAGTACTCAAAAAATTTGATATGATTAATTTTAACCTCAAATAATATCGAAATAAGAAGAAAATGTTTCTTGCGTAATACATGTGGCAGCAAAAATAAGTGTAAAAATGTTACTTAAAAAGTATAACTAAGTACGAATAGGAAAAAAATTTGTTTATTAATGAAAAAAATAATTAATTATTTAAATTACTACATTAAAATAATTAAGTAATGAATGAAATAATTACATAACATTTATCAAATTAAGAAATAATTTGAATAATTAAATTGATTACTTCAGTGACAATAAATTCAAAGATGTGAAAAATTTCTCAAATACCAAAATCTTTTAACAGGAAATAAATTTATAACAGTCTCATTAAATATAAAATAATTTTAATAAAAATATTTCCAATATGATGATGATACTCTTGAAAAGATGTCATAGCTTTAAAAATTTCAAATTAAAAAAAAAAGATAAAGGTAAGGAAGTGAGATGAGAGAGAGAGAGGATAGGGGTGAAGGAAAGATTGAGACATTAAAAAAGATATTTTGTTTGATGAAATTTATATTGAATTGAATGAAATGAAATGGAGTGTAAAAGGTAACTGCATGTAACAATTAACATTATTTGAAAGAAAAAAATGATGTTGAAAAAAAAAAGAAAGAAAAGACAGAGAAAGAAAAGAAAAGAAAAAAAGGAAAGATGAAAAGTCCCATTTTCTAAATTCTTATTATGATGGCTTAAATTATTATTGCATATGGGACAATTCTGTTGCATATTCTTTTCTTTTTCTTTAAATTTCGTTTTAAAATTTAATTCATTGGCAAAAGTTTATTGAAATTATGAAACGATTATTGGTTGTTTCTGTTTGCAGTTTTTTTCTAATTCAAAATTTTGTTGCAAACAAATTATTATGTTATTTCAAATTCATAATGCTTAATATAGAATGTAACTAATAATTGTTATAAATCACTAACAAATATGCTTTTTTAATATTGAACATGCTATTTCAAGTTCATAACTTTTGGCACGGATTATAACTAGTAACTGTTATAAATTTTTTAATATTAAAGTAAACTATCTCAAATTCACAATTTTTAATATAGGATATAATTAATAATTGTTGTAAATCAATATCAAATATAATTTTTATTACTAACATGCGTTCAAATATAATATATTTAAATATTTATAAAGAAAAGAAGAAAGTAATTGCAAAAAAAGAGAGAAGAGTACAGGAAAAATTTTTATCAACTAATTTAATTATTTTTTTCTATTATCTTTCTAAAGAAATTCATTGAAACATTCGAATTTTTAAGCAGTATTTTGATAAAAGTAAAAAAGAAGAAAAATACATTCATTGCAAAATTAAATCAAAAAGTGTATAAAATTATAAAAATTTGAACAAGAGAATATCTTTATCGATTTCTTTCATTTTTTTTTATTTCTTTCACTTATAATTTTAGCTTTTTTCAGATTTTTTTAATTTAGCAAATGAGCAATGAAATGCTTATTTCTATGATCGTTGTTTGATAAGTCAAGAAATAAATAAATAAATAGAAAATAAACTTAAGCAATAAATTTTTTATGGATAAAAAACCTAAGAATATGATAAAAGAAATGAGTGAAAACGACAAAAATAAATATATACACTTTTTATTTAAAAAGAAAAAAAAATCCGAAATATTTGTTATCATTCATTCTTTTTTACATATTAAATTAAAAAAAATTGAAACATATAAAAACGTTTCTTTTTTCTGGTTTTTCTTTTTATAGAATAAACACGAATCCTTTATGGAATAATTATGTTTAAACTTGAAACATCGCAAAATTTCCGTATTTTTTTCTAAGAAGATTAAAACAAGTACAATTTTTTTCTTCCAATCGAAATAAAAACTTAAAACTAAAAAAAAATAAAACACAATTTACTAATTAGCTAACAATAATGAAATAAAATTATAAGAATTGCTTTAATATATAAATTACTGTGCAAAAAACGAGAAACCAGAACAATAAAGAATGTGAAAGAGTAAAATGTGGTATGGAACGAGAAACTGAATGATGAAGAATGCTGAAATGCAGAATGATTGCTAACTATCTAATCTTCCTGAATTTTTTTTATAATTTTCTTTAATTTAACCAAAAAAAAGAGAAAAAATTCAGCAACACTCAAATCACTAATAATTTCATCATAAGAATTTTATCAATTGAATTGATGAGCATAGAAATGAAAAAGAAAGATAACTTTATCAATTTTGAAATACCTATTTATACAGTTTTATTTCAGATATATAACTTAATAATTCCAGAAATAATGCGGGAGTCGAGAGCAAGAATAGTGTGACATAAAAAGAAAAATGAGAGTAATAATAATATAAATCATTTGATGCGATAATCTCAAATTACAGTCTTTGCAACCCCCCCTCCCCACGCCCTCTGCCCTTTATTTTATTTAATTATTTTCTCAAGCAAATTGCATTCTTCCATGACATCAATTAATCTGTTCTTTTCTTCCTCGCTTCTCAAAATTAAATAGTAACTGGGTAATAAATAAAAATATAAATTTTTGAGAAAAGAAACTAATTAATTAATAATATGAATCAGTTATTGCTATAATTAGTAATTATCAATATGAAATCTTAACTTGACATTCAATATTTTAATAATATATTCAGCTTTTTTTTTTTTTTTTAACAACGTGTTTAAATGTAAAAATCAATTCATTGCCGTTTTTTTTTTTTTTCCCGAGAAAATATTTGTATTTAACGTTTTGTCACATCAATCAGAATATTAATTACATCAGCCTAATTTTGTCTTTATTGTATCATCAATTATTTAAGCTATCTAAAATATTTGTAGCATTTTACGAATAAAAATTCTTTCACTACTTACATCATATAAAATTAATTCTTATAATATTTCATTTGTAAATAAACAATTTAATAAATATAGCAAATGCAATCAATAATGCATCAGTTCTGTAGTTTAAATCTAAAAAAAAATGCTATTAAAGGCTAGAAATGTTGATTTATTATCAAAAATTTATTTCCAAAACTTTAAAAAAAAAGTGAAAGCAAATTATTTGATTTACAATTTTTTTTTTCACTAATGCGCAGAGCTTAGAACTTGCTTTCTTACGTATTAATTGAAAATCTAAAAAATTTATTCGATATTTGAAAGACAAAAAAAAAAAAAGAATTAATTTGAAAATGCTGCGATATTAACAGATCAATGTTTGTAGCACTTATGCTACTTTAATTCATATTTTAGAATTTGGTGATAGAAAAGAGGAATTTCAAAATTGATAAAAAAGAATTTTTACACTCACGTGAAAAGATTTCCTATGTTTAAGCAATAACGTTTATGTGATGAATCGTTACGTTTCTTTGTAATAGAAATTTTCAGGTTCAATCAATTTTTCTTTTTAAGTCGAAAAAAAGTTTCAGTGTATCAGTTAATATGATATTTGAAAAAATTATGAAAAACTCGTTGCGTTCGATAAATTAGAAATTTGACTAATTTTTTCTATTACACGGCTAATAATTTTGAAGTGAAAAAGTAAGCTAAAAGACAAATTGTTTATTTTCATAAAAAAAGAAAAACTTTTAACAACAAATATCAGTACCAATTAGTATAACATATAGGAATAATCATTAATGGAAAATAGATTAGGAGTAATAATAATACGTAATAAATCATAAATGGAAAAAAAAAGTTAGGGAGATAAAAACAAAATTTAATTCATTTAACTTATGTTTTGTAAGTGTAATTGTCAGAAAACTTCCAGTTGAAAAGATAAAATGATTAGCGGAAAGTTTATTCATAGCTTTAATTCTATTATAATTTGAATGAAAAAAAAATTCTTTTCAACAATTCAAATTTCTCATTCATTGAATCACTTTTTTTTTTTTTTTTTGTTTCTATTTTGAACCACAAAACCGTAATAGATTAGATTGCTATTAATTATGAATATAAATATGATGACTTTTGTTGTATTTAAGATAACAACTGGTAATTTCATCACAAAGAAGAAGAAAGAAAAAAGAGAGAATGCGGTAGAATAACAATTATAATTTGACAAAAAAAAAAAAAAAAAAATGTGTTTCGAAAAAAAAATTTAATAATTATGAGAATTATTAATACAAACTTGTTTTGAACATGTTAGACAAAACAGAAAGTAGTAGAATCAAAAATGAAATTACAATCAAGTATCAATTTTAAACATAGCTAAAGTACTACAGATGAAATAAATGAAGCAATAAGATATAATTTCTTGCAACAAATAAACTTTAATCATAAATTTCAAATATAATCCTATTTGTTTCTTTTTTGGATAAAAATGTCAACAAATCGAGCAACATATGAATTTAATATTAAAATAATTTCAAAAAATTGTAAAATAATTTATAACAATAAAAATTTTGAAATAAAAATTGGAACAGAGATGCTCTAGGATAGATGAATATTAGATAGGAGCGCAGGCATTCATAAGCCATTCGTACTCTTTTTTTTTGCCTGTTTCCAATAAATAAGGACCAACTTTTTCAAAACACATTGTATGATAACGGTTAAACCATTCAACCTGCAAAATTATTAAAATTTATAAAAAAAATTTCGGTCAATTTGTATGTTCTCCATGAAATATATTTTATAAGACTTTCAAAAATTTAAATAAGTGTAACATATGGAGATTAACCACTGAATTTCTGCATAAATATATTTCGCAGTGGATTTTATAAATAAATTTAAAATCCATATTTCTTACAGCATTTACAAACAACTAATACTATACTGATAAAAATTACTGACAACCACTATGATTTCATGAAATTGCAATAATGCATAACTTCAATTTTAAATTTCAAATATATGGAAGCACCAAAATTCGATTAATGAAATATGCATAATAGAAAGTTTATCGCCTAATTAATAATATCCTGTTTATGTGTAACGATAAGAATACAAGCTTATGAGTAAAGTTAGGATAGCGCTCAAATGTTTATTCTAAAGTATCTTTTGATATATGTTCATTCCTAGTAAAAATAAGAACTAAAAAAAGAAAAAAAAAATAGTCGAATAACATATCAATTTCAATTTTAGCACCAGTTTAGCCCTACCTTTTTAAGAACCAGAAAACAGGAACGAGAATCCAAGCAGTTGTCTAATTTTGGTTTTCGATTGTATAGAATAACACAGATAATATACTGTAGCGTTATGTTTACCTCCCAACTAAATCACATAGAAAATTAACGATTAGAAATAACAATTCTTAAATTATTACATCTGCTACGTTAACTAATTGATATTTTTCCTAAAAACTACAACGACTGATGAGATTTTGATGTCTTTTTGAAAGTTTGCATCAGAAATTGGACATAAAATTTACCTCTTCTGTTGTAAGTGATGTTTTATCCACTAAAGACTTTTGTATTGGTACCAAGGTTAGCGGTGAAAATGTCAGAAAATTTTCCGCACCTGAACGCATTTTGTCAGCAGTTATAACCTGAAAAAGAGAAAAAGAAAACTTGTCCAACTTAAGCAGTATAATTAGTTCACGACTAAAACTAATTTTCTTAATTACATGAATAAAAAAGATTGATGAGAATTTTACTTGACCTATTTATTTTAATTTTTTTTCCTACAGCATTACTGCTCCCTAAAGATCGATATTTGCATAAAAAATGTCGCACCAATTATTTGAATATCAAAGAAAAGATTAGTCCCTTTTCAAGATTTAAAATATACAAAAAAGCCATATAAATCTTTTTTTCATCAGGATTTTTAAAAATCACGATAGATCATGATAAATAAATATTTTCGAGATAATCAATTTTAAAAATTATTTAGTTCTCACAATTTTCCAAAACAATTATTTATCATCAAAGTGACCTCATAACAATTTTCAATTCTTATGCCCCATTTGCCTTCAGCATAGAAACCGGGCTCAATTGTTATTATATGTCCTTTATGGATTCCACCTTCTTTCTCGTATTTGCGAAATGTAATACCAACTAAAAACAAGAACTGAATTTACAAATAAACTAACAAGCTAAAAACAAAAAATTCCGAAAAGAAATATCGTTTAATAGCCAAAGAATAAGGACCTCACACATGACTAAAATCTTTTCAACTATTTTCATTCATTCATAAAACATCAATTTACCTGGTGCTTCATGCACATTCAAGAAATGTCCAACACCGTGTCCTACACCATGCTGAAAGTCTAATCCATCATTCCAGAGATATTGCCTTGACAGTGCATCCATACGTATTCCTAAAAATTACAACAAAAAAAAAAAAAAAAAAAATTTAGAAGGCTAAATTAATTGTCACATATTTGACGAAAATTTAGACAAATCTAGAGAGATGCAGCAAAATGAATATGAAATCAGAATATATATTATATATATCTGAAACTTAACCAAATTAGAATGCTAGATTAAAACAAAAAAATTGAAATAAATAAATTTTACCATTTACACCATCAGGAAAAATGAGCTTTGCATTAGCAATATGTCCTCTAAGGACCAACGTAAACATTCTTTTGAATTCCATATCCTTAAAATCAGGAAAAGCAATTGTACGTGTTACATCGGTTGTTCCATCACTGTAACTTTCAAATTTTGATTTACTTGTCAACTTCGAAATAACACTATGTCATTTATATGAGAAATTATTGAAATTACCGATAATGTCCACCAGAATCGATTAAGAACATGCAATTTTTGGTTAGCAGTTGTTTACCCGTTGCTGGAGTACTTTGATAATGTGGCAAAGCTGCATGCTCATTCAATGCTGCTATCGTTTTGAAACTTAAATCAACAAAAAGAGGTTGTCTACTACGAAATGTATCCATTTTCTCACCAGCGGCTACCTATAAATATAAATATGCTTCATAATAAATTTTATAAATAATATAGGTAAGTATAATAAGTAATAATTATTAAGTTAAAAGTTAAATAAACGTACTTCAGTAATTTCTTTTCCAGCAGCAATCTGTTCTTCCAACCAGACAAGATATTCAATTATAGCAGCACTATCACGGATCTAGGAATAATATTAAAGGTAATATGGTTATCATATTTTATAAAAGATATTTTCTCAAATTCAACAAATGTTTTTCAAATGTATTGACATTGCAAATCAAAATTCTTAGGAAAATTCAACTAATAACTTAATAATCACTGAATACCTACTGAAACATCTAATGCTAGAGTATTATTTTAGAAATTAGATATTCAATTATACCCAAAGTTTAGTTGTCCATTATCAGAAAAATCATTCAATGTCTGAAGAATTTTGCCATTTTAACGAAAATATTTAAAATTAAAACTTACACTTGATCGTCTCATCCCACTTAATTCTGTTTCATTCTTTATAGCTTTTATAAATTGGATTGGTGAAACTAATACTATGCCATCATTTGATTCCACTAAAGATCCCAATTCATAATTTGTTGAGTCTGGAATACAAACCTGTAATAGAAGATAAATGATTACAAAAGCAGCTAATAATAAAACTTCAAAAAAAGGCACCTTAATTCAAATTTTCAAAAATCTCTATAAATTTTTGACATCACAGCCCTATGCAACAAATTATAGTTCAATTCTGAATGAAAATATAGTATTTCATGACAGTAATTTATAGAAGATATTCAATTTCATTTTTAAAAAATCAACCTTACTTCCTATCAAAATCACCAAATCATTCAAACTCTCGATGCAATGATTTCGATTTTATTCATTTGTTCTTTCATAAGTATTAAAGTATTACTGATGAATTAAACGAACTAAATCAACTTACTTTGTACTGTCCTTTATGGCTCCGAAGCCATTCTCCAATCCATGCACTTGCTTCGCTATATTCATGAATGATAATGTTTGCTAAATGATTCGATACTGCACTGTTTAATTTTCGTTTACTGATAAATAAATGTACCTCATCCGGAGTCATGAAAATAATCGCATAAACAACTGGATTATATGGTATATCTGAACCACGAATATTCAATAACCCTGAAAACTGAAAAATTGCGATATTATAGAGCAAGTTAAAAAAAAAAAAAAATCGAAATTCTACCATAATTCAATAATTTACTATTTTTTCGAAGATTTTTTTTGAAGATTGATAGATTGGTCTTTTTTTTCATTAACTGATTATTATTGTCAGTGATAAAAAGACTTGAGAATCATTTCTTCACTCAAATATAAATGGGTGCAGGTTAACTTAGATACTAAATAACTGTACTGTTATACTTACAAGAAATATCATCCAGGGCGGTAAAAATTGCTGTATTACAGCCTTTTAAGTGTAATTCATGCCGTATTTTCTCAATTTTCCTGCTTGTTTCCATTCCATGTTCATTTTCATTCATCACTAAAATCTGAAATTGAAAATATGATGACATTTGACAAGAGTATAATGCAATTAAAATATGAGTACATCGTCCACTCAGAAAACAACTAGTATTGATCTGCACGTGGATATTACCTATTTTTCTAACGTTACGTAAACAAATATTCAATTCTAAATTGAAAAAAAAAATTGAATTCGATATATGAAAATATATATGAAGCTTGAAGAGGTATGATTTGGGCTTCTGCCTAAACAAATATATGAAATTCACCTTTCCAAAATATTCTTCTGGTCTATCATGCCATACATAATCGACCAAGTTACCTTTCAAAGGTATCACGCTAATATCAACTTTCTTTAGAGCAGAGATTATTTGCAATGCATCAGCTAACCAAAGATCAAATACAAAGAATATTAAAACCATACGATGACAAATACTATAGTATGTGATAAAAAATGAACGAAGTAATTTTCATTTCGAAAAATTTCATACGCATATAAGGATATAAATCTAGTATGTTCATTATGCAAATACTAAACTCAATTGTAACCGCATTAAAAAACAAGAAAATCATAATTTATGAATGATCAAAAATATCGTACCATACCGGTACAGTTGTGGATCAAAAGCTATTCGACTGCCCTTGTGTAAATTTTGAATCATCCAGTCAGTTGTTGAAATTGCATTTGGAACACCATCCTTCATCAATTTCCATCCTGGTTCCAGTTCAATTTGCGCCTAAAATTCGGATTTTGAGAAATATGTTGAGCAATATGAGATAGTCAAAAATTGATAAATTCAACTAAATTTGTTTTCAAACAACGCAGGATGACCTCAATAAAATTGAACTATTATACCTGTATAAAATATCTACCATCAGTCCAAACCATTGCTTCTTTTGGTGTTATTAAAGCAAATGCATTTGAACCAGAAAATCCACTGAGAAAACGGACACGAAAATCACGTTTCGAAATATATTCACTCTGGAAAATATCACGAACAGTAAGGTTTATTGGAATATATGTATTAAACGGTTGGTAAATTAGTTTGTGAAGGACCGAAAGATCATAGATGCAAGATCTAGAATGAAACTACCCATCGCACAGAATAGAATTTTGTTTTTTCTTATCTAAGAAGTTATTTAACATCAGGCTGCATAGATTTAAAAGACTGTACGCTTTAGACTATATTTATCTTTTATTAAAAAATCGTTCATTCTTTGATTAAACTATTCATATTACGAAACAAAATAAAGATATACCATTTAGATCAGGAAAAAACAAAGAAAAGAAATTTGAGAATGATAACAAATAGAAAATACACATAATGCATAGCCTCTGATTCATTACATCTATGACAAAAGGCAAGTTGAAAGAGAATAGCAAACATTTAAAGAAACTGATAAATGTTAGACAAAGACAAAGTATAATACTCTAAATAGAATAAAGTGGAACAATCAGAACAGCATACTCTAGACGTTACCTCAAACTTCCCAAACTTCAAGAAATGAAACAAAACAATTCCTAAACTGATTTTGTAAAACGACACTTATTTCCGCCTATAAAAGCACTTGTTTTTCATAACTTGATCCCTCATTTATAGAATAGTTAATTAATTAATACTTTTTTTTGTAAATTTATACTAAAACCCATTATCCATTACCATCAATCACTTCGTTCCCATCTCACGCAATAAAATTTAAACAAAATTTCAAATAAAAACAAAGAATTATAAAAGGACATACTTGATGAGCATCAGTACTTGGTAACAAATAAGCATCAAGAGCACCATTAGCATTCTTAACAATATCATCATGTGTGAATAGCTCCCTAAATTTTTCCAATTTTTTATTCACCATGCCATTTGCTAGATCCATATTTTTTGAAATCTATAATATGGTTTGTTAAATTAAATGGAAAATAAAGAAAAATTAAAAGTCTTCAGAATGACAGAAAATAACTTTGAATTCAAATGTCCTAATTCAACCAACATTTCACTATTTCCTTAAAATGAGATTTATTTACTTAAGTTACTTGTTACCAATAAATCGCAGATATAAAACACGCTATAAGTACCGAAATAAGAAATAACAAAAAATCTTTCTGAAATAGAATTAAATTTGAAAATAGTAGTGAGAAAAAAGGAGAAAAATTTCATATCACAGAAAAAAAAAGGGCGGAAAGAAAACTGAGCTCAAATTAAGCTAAGAAATTGTTAAATTTAAGTGAAAAGAATTTTGAAAATGGAATTACACTTACAATTTTGCAGTAAGTGAAAGTGAACAAACAAAAAGTGCGAAAAACTGTCATGTAAGGTAAACAGAACGGTACCAATGCTACCAATGAAGTATCATGCCAATTGTACTACTGCTTTAACGTCGAAAAACAAATTATCTGGACCTATGATAAAAATTGTACCAAAATAAAAAAAGAAGCCTTCCGGGCACCATCAACCGTGAATTACCACTGAACATTATCTCCGGTACTTCAACTAGTGCAATCGGTGATGCAAGATAGGACGGTGGTGTTAGTGTTCGGCAGATTGGTGCCAGTGTCGGTTGATATTAACTTAGTGCTTTTGCAAAGAGCATTTCAGATAAGGTTGAGGGTTGCAAGGTTACTACGTACTATAACGGTTGAAATAATAGATCAATCATGTCGATGGTTGAATTGGAAACGATGATTCATTTAGATTTTCTTGTTTATATAATTTTGATAATTTGCTGTCTATTTCACCGATAACCATAAAAGTATTGGAATTTTGAGAAAAGCATTATTTTTTAATCAAGTGATATCTCATAATTAACGATATACTATAGAGTATAAAATAATTTTGTTTTAACCTTTGACATTTATTAATTTTGCTTGCTACATTTTAATAAGAATTTGTACCATAATTTCCCTTTCCCTTTTTCTTTTAATCTATAGAAATTCTTTTGCAGAGTTTTATTTTTTATTCGTAGCGAATGAGTGAATAAAATAATGGTTGATAATGAAATGATTGTGCATGATAAAGCTCTCAGGAAACAGCAACAGCAGGAAAAATCATCCATTTATCAACCTCAATCATCCTCACATACAAATGGACGTAATGAATTGTCACCAGTTGAAGTTTTTTATTTAGATGTTATATGATTTAAAAATTTTCCGTATTATTAGGGAATAAGAATAGTAAGAATAAATGTTTCATAACTGATAATAATTTCATAATTAGCCATGTTTGAAAGCAGTATTTGCTATCAAAATAAAACTTACTGCTCACATAGAATCTTTCAATAAATTTAACTTCATTCATTAAAACTAATTGCTTTGTGAAACACTAAATTTGAAAATAAATGATATTGTTTTTGTTTAAGTGCTATTCGTTATGCTAATGCAGTTGTATTCTAGTTGAAATACGACACAGGACAGATCATTCGGAACGGGCATCCAACAATCGATCTCGAAAATTAGTCGTAGGAAAAGAAGATGAACGGGTGAAAAAAAATTTCTTGCAATTTTGGTATTTTTAATGATGCAAAGGAACATCATGAATGTTCCTTATTAATTAGTGCTTTCAACATGTATTTCAGGTTATAAGTGGAAAATTCGATTTTGGTGATCGAGACGAAAAGCCTTCATTTAATATCACTTTACCACTTTTGAAAGAAGTAGCAGCGTTTCATTTTTTTTTTACAAAATTATTGTTTAATTTCAGAAGTCAAAATCAATAACTTAAGCGAATAATTTGGACAAACAAAGTTTCTTTTTTTTTTCAATATAATCAGTGAATCACTAATTTATTAGGTTGAGAGCAAAGAATGGACAATTGATGAACTCAGAATATTGCACAACTGTATAAATTCGTAAGTTAATTGTTAATATTGAGGGTTTTCATCCAACTTATTGAACTTGAATAAATATTCATGATTTTATTGCATTTCCTTGCTTTCTTCATGCATTTTTAAAACCCGTAAAACTTTTTGATCCATATATAAGGAATTAAGCATTGGATTATGAAACCGTGGAATTAAATTTTAAAAGCATATCGTTTCTTTTCTGCTATTCCAATGTTTTGGAATGCAAGATCCGAGTGAACGATGTTACATTGGTGTTAGTGTGCATTTAATTTTTTGTTGATTTGAGTTTTGTTAATTAAAGTTAAATGAAAACATTTAAAAGATATTCTATCGTTTGATTTTATATGCTATTTAGTTATGGTATGAATGACAATTGCCTTTTCAATGCAACAAAAAATATCCCAAACCGTTCGACGCTTGATATACAAGAAAAAATTTCTGGAATTCGTGAACTGACACGGCTGAGACACGAGATGCGAGTTGAAGCACGAAAGACCGAATGGCTGAAGAAAGTCATATTACCTTCTAAAACTAGTGAGGTAAATTTTCTTTTTTTTAATATTGAATTATATGTATATACTTAAGGTAATGTTAACGGCACAATCATTTCATCAGCGCATTGAGCGCTAATTTTTTTTTTAGGATTCACGATGGTTTATTAACTCTTAGCTGACCTGTTTGAATTCTTCTGAAACAGCTATGGAAACTTTTTGTTGTTTATCTTTGGTTACTTCTTCGGGATGATAGACCATACGGATTGAAGAATTATGGAAGCTAATATAAATGAACTATAATGAATCATTTGCTTCATAAAACTAACATGTTTATACATCATGCTGTGTATTCGTTGCACATCCATTTACTTTTGAAGAAAAATTATAAACTGCTTTAAGTACAAAAAAAATTTTTCTAGATCCAAGATTGGTCGAACGCTGTTCATGTTATTCAGAATAGAAAACGCCGAATCAATGATTATACTGATTCGGCTGTCTTAGTGAGTTTTTTTCTTGCTTTTTTCTTTCGAAAATTATAATTTATAATAATATTGGGTAGAACTGGAGTTGTTATTCATAATTATTCTAGAACAATCTAATATTTTTATATTTTTGGCCATACAATTATGTATCAGATTATTTATGACGAAACAGTTACGCTTCATAAGCTAAAACTAATTTCATTTTTAAATAATGCTTTTTAAAATTTATCACGCCGCTGTATATTAAAAAACATGAGTTCCTCACTTACTGAATATAATAGTTCTTTCAATTGAATATTTTTTCCATAGTAATAGATTAAATATAGAATCTTACTATATAATAAGTATCACCCGAAAGAGTGTTGATTTCAGGATTATTTGGCACATGAAGTTAAATGTCGACCAGCATCTGTGGATACTAGAAAATATTTCAGGGTAACCGACTCATCCTATGCTCCATGTGCTAATAGAAGACAGATTGTTGATTGTGCCGATTATTATCGTTTTTTACAGGCTTGTCTTTCGGGAACGGCAACAGTGAGTTGTAAACCTTTTGGTTAGTTTTTTTTTTTTTTTTTTTTTCTTGTATTCTATTTATAATATATCAGTTAAAAGATCGCATCATTAAAGTTATTGAAATATCGTGCTGGGTTCAATTTGATTCACAAAAATTTTTTTTTTTCTGGTAAAGATGACAGATCGAAAATGATTAGATGTTTAGGTGACCAAATACTTCGGGTTAAGTCGTCTTAGTAGATTTAATACGTCGAACATTTATTCGATTTTTATAATTTTACTAGTAAATGATTTTTCATCCCTAATTTTAAAGATTCTATGCTATTTGAATCCATCTATCTGAAAATCATTATGGGTCGTTTTCTTTACAAGTTTCTAATTTGACATGTTTACCCTATCAAGTAGCTTTTGTTTTATCGAAAACTGTCCTGTTTGTTTGTCTTTCCAGTTTTCAATTTTTCAAGATAATCAAAAGTCTGAATTGCAGATTCTGCTATAATTTTGAATATTTTGGAAGAAATTCAAAAAGAAGTTGATGATCCAAAGCATGAAAAAAGGCGACGAATACTGGCTGGAATGTTTCGAAATATACAGTCCGGTGATTTGTCTGATTACGATTTTCCAGATACAACTGGTAGTGATGACATGTTATGTGTACAACTGAATCCTTTAAATTTGATGCGTGAAATGTTGGAAACAGGTAATGAGCAGTCTTAATGCTAGATCTGATATAGTTTGCTAAATTGTTAAAAGTAATGCAGTATTGATTGTGATAATATATTTCACTGAGGTTGCTGTGGAAGAATATTTCTTAGCTTTTAGAGATCTATCACTGATTGATGATAATCCAAAATAGAAAACTTGATATCATTTTTATCCAAATTGATACACATTTATCAATGAAGGGACTGATAATTGTAGAAAACAGGAGTAATATAATAGTAATTCAGAAGTCGTCATCTCTGCATGTATATTCTTCCAGAATCTCCGGCATTTGATAACCAACAATAGTGTATTTCTCAATTTTACATTCGATTATATCTTGTTGTCGAACCTTCAATTGGGATTTAATTTGAGAAGTAAATACAATAATGAGTGTCGAATTTTAATAAAGGATGAAATAATGAATATTAAAAAGTAAACAATGACTCTCTCTTATACTTCGCTACCTGGAAGAAAACATTACTTCTTTGAATAGACTTAGATTAAAAGACAGAAGCGAAAGCAAAAAACGCAAAAGCAATGTCATATTCAATTGGCATATAGAAATGAATGTATGAAGTATATTACGACTAAATCTACTTCCGTACTTATCTCTGACTTGGAATTTACCTCTCGCGGATGGATATTCTCGGTGATAAGGTTTTTGTCCTCATCAATAAGCATCAATGTTCTATATTCATGTCGTTGTTTATCAATTGGTTCGCATTGTTCGATTTCTTTTGCCCTTTTAAAAAATCTCACTCGTGGTTGTACATACTGCAAAATAGATCTGAAGGAATTATTCATAGGTCAAAAGAAAAGTCAAAGGTCACAGTTAGATCACAGTATATCGATATAAAAACAAAAGATACGAGTATAAATTACAACGATAATAATAATGGATGAGGTATCATATCTATCGTAGTAAATGAAATATTGAAAAAACAAACAGTTATTTGATTGATTTTATTTATAACCATTAAACATTTATGATATTCGATCTTTCAGAATAACTAATTTCTCCTTCAAATAAATTATTTTTATTCTTAACGTGGTTTTAGCTCGGAATTTATTTTAAAATGTATTCGAAAAGTTTGACAAATTTGACTGGGCACCTGAAGTGTATCATGTGATGAAACTTCTCGACTTTTGCTTCCTTCCCAAGTTTCTTTTTCATTTTGCATAACTTCTTCAACTTTTTGTATTGATTCCTATTGAAAATTGAAATCAGTTTATTGATTTTTATATAATATTGACTGATCAGTAAATGGCGGGTTTAATATTATTTTCAATTTAGATTCTTTGTAAAATCAAATTTAATATATTACAGGAATTTAATTTTTATCAATGCCATTAATTTGGCTGATTGTATAATTTAGCAAGAAGATAATACTGTTTGAGAACACTGTGTTTCTTCAGCAGTTTGTGTTTGATTGGATTTTGTAATTTCCAAATTCTGAAAAAGAGAACAATAGGAAATTTCAGTGAAGGGTTAGCGCTTGAAATAAATGGTAAATTAGTCTTTGAGAAGTTAATTAAAAATGATAAATTGCTCACGGCATAGTAGATTGATGCTAAAACCATATATATATAAAGCGTTCAATGATTAGCTTTTTATTTCCATTGAAAAAAAGGAAAAACAAATTATTTGATTTTAAATGTAGGATTATTTCTGTTGTATCAAATGAGTTTGCTGCTTCTTTTTTGATAATATTTTTTTTTTTGGAAAAATTTCTGTCCATTCTTTCATTTTCCTTTTTTCTTAATCCTTTTTTTATTCCCAGTTATTAAACCATTGAATTGTATAAATGGTATAAGGAATCAGTTGATAAGTCATTATTGAATGATTACTTTTATCAGTGATAACATTTAATCATTATCACAAACGGTTTTAACCTAAATATATTCTTGCCAGTCGTAAGCTTTTTTATTTCTTTCGTGATATTTAAAAGCATTCCATTTCATTGAAAAGTTCATGTGTATATTTTATAATTTAGTAAGTTTTTATAATCGATTAGGACGTTAATTTATTAAGATTTTACGATTTACAGGTGTTTGTTTTTGAATTTCTGCTACAACTTCTATTTGTTTTTGCGGCATTTTTTCTGGTGATTCATTAAGAATAATCGTAGATTGTGTATTTTCAAGTTTCATTTGTTGAATTTCCTTTTCTGAGATATTACGACTCTGTGGTACTATCTGTAATTCTTGTTATTTTTCAGTTAAATTATATATTTTCATAGAAATTACACACATTTCTAAAATTTTTGAAATTGACAATAATTAAACCAATTACAAAGATCATTGATTCATAAATGACTAGAATATTAATATAAAATGAATAGTTGATGAATTGGAACTATGATTAAGTCCAGTTGTAATGTTTTAAAATTTAACTAATCTTTAATTCTAAAACTATTCTCTTTTCTTAATTATATTAACTTTCCAATTAAAGAAAAAGAAAACTTTCGGATCGTCTATAAATTTCCCGAACTTTGCTTTCTTTTTACATGCGCATAGCGGTAACAACAGTAACAAAGTTATAATTATCACTGATAAGGTAGCAATCATCACTTGAATGTTGAACCGAATGCTATCAGTATTAATCGGACTGATCAATCGATGAAAAAATCTGCGTAAAATTATTACTGACTAGAAACTTAAAGAAAAACCGTATGAAGTTTCGACTACTTCAAAACGAAGTGATAACTAATGTATAGATAATTAAATCCTAAAAGTAGTAGCAGCTTTGAAAAACGAAATTAAAAAACACGATTGTATTTGAGTTGTATTATATTTTATGATCATTGATTAATTATATGATTATTTTGTGTGATTTATCAACAATAATTTATGTTGCATGGAAATTTTTTTTTCTTTTTTATCAAAATAAAAATGCTTTAACATTGAAAACTTTCAGACAAAAAAAAAACCACTGAAAGTAAATACCATCTGTTTGCCGACTTATTTATTTCATCAAAATTAATTTTTTAATTTATCAATTTCCTTAACTTACCGAAAATCAATAAGCTGAACTGATTAAGATTTGATTAATATCCATCTAAAATTTAAACAATGACATAAATCATTATTTATAAAAGTAAACCTTTTTTGCACTTACTTAAGAGACAGAAGTGTAAGATAGGAACCGACCACCTCATAGGTAATCATTAACAAAAATTAGCTGTGCTGCTTTGCTACGACAGCTATTTAAATAGCTTCAGAAATTGAAAGTGTTAAAAAAAAAAAATCTTTTATATTCCAAGAACTAACAAAATCACTTTACGTTAGTTAACGGTTAGTTGAAAATATGTAGTGATTGAATATAGAAACTTTTATGTTTCACTCGTAAATATGTAAAGCACATATAAACATATAACATAAAATACGTACAATGAGCAAAAATAAATATCATATTTGAAAATATTTTTGCAGTTTCCATTTTTCTCAACGTGCATCATAAACCATCACTGAAATAGAAAACTTTTTATTCTTTAGCATTGATTAATCTCTAAGTGTAATATTCTCGAGAACATTAAGATGATTTCCAAAGTCAGAGCTATATAAGACTTCATGTTTTCCACCATACATTTCGGGCTGGAAGTTAATTTTGTTAAAAATTTCTAACGAATTCAATCTATTTATTTGTCACAGGAGAAGTAAATCATGCAAAAATTTATTTATGTAAAAGATTTTCCAGAAAGCAGCATTAATATTAGTAGTTCGATATTTTCATTAAATGATTAAAAGGAAATTGAAAAATACTATTACAATGAAAAGAACTAATTTAGGTAAAGTGTGATGATGCTCAAATCAAACACCGTGTTCCTAATAAAATATCATTTTCCGAAAGAACAACTACGGCCAAAAAGATTAATCATTTGTGAAGCAGAAAAAAACGGATAAAAGTCCGCACAACAAAATACAACCAAAAAACAGCAAACTGACATTTTAAAACATTTTCTTTGTTAAATTGTAAGCAAAACGAATTCCTGCAACTTACACTTCCGGCAACGTTTTTTATACAATATCCTGTAACCACATTCTCGACATCTGATCGCATCCTTTGGACGGATTTCATTCTCGCTGTGACATTCTCAAAAAAAAAACAAAGTTTAAAAAACTTTAGGAAATAAAAAATCAAATGATCACTTTTAACTTCCTTTAAAAAAGAAAAAGGAAAAAATATACCGACCAAACTGAAATCAAATGGACGACAGAAAGAAAAAAAAGAATCAGTTCATGATTATATTGATTTAATCCATCATTATTTAATCTATGTACTAACCTCCACAAATGTAGATCATGCTATTAGTCTTTGCTGACCCACCAGCACTTGGAGTTGGAGTTGAACTGCCTTCCATTACTAAATTATTTTCTGAAAACGAAATAACAAAAGAGAAGAAATCTGCAATAACAATGAAAAAAATTTTATAATTACCAGTGTTAAAGCCAACACAACACATTCAAAGCATAAATATCTGTTTATCAATTGCTTCTGACATTTAACCCTACAAACAAATGTGTAAAATAAATCATTCCAAATACTTTTTATGAAAAATTCATTTCAAAGAAATTTTATGTCTCTAAAAAAATACAAATGAAAAATGGAACAAAAATCCACAACCATACTACAACATTCAACAATTTGTAAATTAAAAGGACAGCCCAACTAAAGCTATTAATTCAGCGTACATATTTCATGGAAGTTCAATTTTAATGCGGTGGCTCCGTGAAATCCTTCACCTCTAAAGCATCAAAAGTATGTGGTAATACTTAGTGGCGACACATTTGCGCATAGCATTAATTATGGAAATTTGTGCATTTTGTAGTGATTGCAATAGTGAAACTATTAAAATAGGTTTTTTTTTTAAAAAAAATATTTATCTTCATTTATACCAAAGTAAGAACGAAAATTAAATAACCAATAATCAAATAAAAAGCACAATTCATAATCAAAAGGCACAATTAAATGCACTAATAGCAGCATATTAGAATGAAAAATCAAAATGTTTGCCACATTAAATAATTATTAAAATTTAAACCATTATTCAGAAAAAAATATGGCACAAGCATATTTTACTTGTCTCATTACTTTAATAGTAGCAAAGTATTAAAATATTCAAAAAAAAGAAAAGAAAAAAAGGAAAGAATAAAAATAATGCCAAATAATCATTGTATTAATAAATTGGTGATCAATTCATAATTTTGTGATGATTAATTGTAAAGCTAAATTGAATTTCAAAAATATTTCATAATTAAATAAATTGAATTTGATTAGCATTTATGCTTTTTTCGGAAAATAGGAGAATCAAAAAAAAAACAGGTAAAATGAACAATATTGACCGTTAATGACCGAAGCTAACATCTGAAATCATTTGTAGTCTTCTAGCATCCCAATTTGTTGCATCAACAATTGGATCATTTACCCATAACTCTCGCCCATCTTCTACCTCAAAAATTTACAAATTATATTCAGTTAGTTAAAAAGTAAATTATAATTATTAAAATTTAAGCTAAATTATAAAAAATTTGCAGTATAAGATATGAAAAAGTTTTGAAATGTATTTAAAAAGATTGAATATGCACTTTTTCCTTTTTTTCTTTCTTCATTCATTACTTATTAAAATCATTCATTAAATAGCAAAACTAGAAAAACTTAAAATTATGCAAAGCTAACAAATTAATACAATGACGAAAAACTGATACATGTGGGTCATTTTGTAAAAATAGAAAATATACATTTGCGCTTTAGAAAAGGTTAAAATCGCACACTTTTCTCGTTCTTAACTTATTACAAACCACATTTTTTTAACCTTTTTTAAATTCCGTTTCTGACTTTCTGTTTTTTCACATTTTTTCTTTTTTTTTTTTAATGATCTTAACTTTCAAAGAATTTGTACAATTCACGCTATCTAAATGATAGCAGATGTTCAAATAAAAAATGCATTCAAATGTAACTTCAAAATAAATTGTACATTTATTTTTCCGTTTAATAGTTAAATTTTATTAACTTTAGGACGAATACAAGTATTTGGAAAGAAATAACCTTTCGATCGATGGTCCATTTTAGTATTGATTCCATATCACCGTAATCACCAGCACATGTCACCACAATTGTTTCATCGCCAATTCTATGTGAAGATTTTCAAATGAAATTATTTAAATAAAAACAAAAAAAGAATAAAATCTAAATTAGACAACTTATAAAATTGATTCGCTTTCTGTTGCTCACCAAAAACCATTAACAATGTCACCATAAACCGTTGACATTGATATGTAAGAATGTGAATTAATTATTAGCCACTAATTAAAAACGCTCATGACTTGTAAATATCTATGGAATGATAAAATGATTGTAATTTCTAATTACGACATTATTGTTTTCCCGCTTCTATTTAATTAGAAGCTAATAATTACTTCATGTTCTTGCTAGTGTCATTCTAATGCTATATTTGATTTCGTTTTTTTTTTTTTTTTTTTAAATTTTTTTTTGTATTACTGATTACAGTCTTAATTTTTTCTTATTTTTTTGACAACAGTCTAAGAAAATAAAAAATATTATAATAAAGATTTTTTTTTATGGCATTAATAAACAGATGAAATATGGTACAGCGATTAGATGCAGTAGTACTTAACAAATAAAATTATAAATTAGCAATGAGAAAAAGATGTTTACCTGGTATGTGCACTACATCTGACCTGTTTATCTGATATTTTCAATTTCATTTCAAGTACTAAAGTTATCTTTGACCTGAAATTAAATAATATCAGTCATGATGTATTAACATATTTATTGAATAGTTAGAATTGTTTACCCATCGAAATTTCACAACTTTATTTACAAAAAAATAGGGCTTTGATAAATCCAATAATTTCAATTGGATTAAAAATTTAATAAATTAGTTTATTTCCCATACCTTTTAGTTTCATCAGTTCCTTGCACTTTTCCGCGTTTTCTATCACCTGTAAAATGATCAAAATCCAATAATTTTATCAAATTTTACCATAGCTCTAGTTTCCTAAAATTTTTTGATTAGAATTTATAAAAATGAAATGAAATTTACAAAGCTATAACCATGGAAAAGAAAGAAACAAAATAATGTAAGCAAAAGCAGAGCAGATATTGCATCAAATTATATGTTTCAGTAAATGAACACGAAAATATTAAATTTATTACTTAAGTGGACTAAAATACTTATTTAAAAACTGAACCATTTGCAAATAATATTGGATGTCAGTTAAAGTAACGTTAAAGAAATACTTTCTAATGAATTGGATTCTTTTTGTGGAATAAATTCATCAAATTCTAAATCTTTCCTTCTGAGCTTGAACATTTCGCTGGAAAAATCATTTGTACTATCTGCTGCAGATTGCACTTTCAATAAGTTGTGCAAATTTGACGACTTTTTAACTTTTCCACTTTTATAGCCTAAAATAAAAGTAAAATTTCAAAGATTTGAGCGAAAATTTAACTACTTTTTATTAAAATATTTATTCGTTAAATAATAATTTTTGAAATTGCAATTAAAACTAATATTAGTGTCTTAAATGAAATATTTATTTTACTTAATTAGTATTTTATAATAAGTTATTAACTATTTTGTACAAATGATGTTCTACTATTTAACGATGATAGTTAATAGTGACAAAACATGAAAGAAAAAATATTTTATTGTTTATGATCTAATTATAATTAATTTTAATGTTTCCATTAATTTTTTTTGACATTATAAAATCGAATAAATTATTGAGTAAATTTTTAAACAAAAAATAAACATCAAGTTATTAAAGTCAAAACACTAATGTTTTCTCCATATTATTTCCTATTATCAATAATAAATTACTTCACATATATATATATATATATATATATATATGTATAAGTCATTTGAATTATTTGTTAATTTAGCAATTTGGTTAACAATTTGGTTAAGCAATTTGGTAGTTTGAGAATTTGAGAGTAATATTATAATCTGCTTTGGTTTCGTAAATAACAAAGGTGTAATTCATAAATTAAAATTAAAAATAGGTTAGAATGATTGTTTATTAACACTGCAACTGTTGGTCTAATTACAGAAGTTATTATTGTATAATTTTTTTCTTATGAAATTTTTATTTAAAATAAAACAAACAATAAGGAAAACCTTGTTTGTCTTGCTTTGAATAAATCTCAAATAAATCATCATATTCCAATGAATGATGCGAAATTGACGATGATGCTAATCCAACATCCAAATTTTTGCTTTTTTTTTCATTTGCTATCCACCAATGTTTTGCAGCACTTTTATGATTATTTTTCGTCATGGATGATCGAAGAAGGAATGATGAACGCTTCCGCATCGGAACTAAAATACATTTTTTATATCATTATCAAAATTTAATATTTTGATATTAAAAAAATAAATTATATGAAATAAGAACAAGAATGCACGGTCAATAATAGATGAGCATGGAAATGGAATTTAATTATTAATGCAAAAAAAAAAAATCAAATCAGGAATTAAGAGAGATCGACAAAAGATTTAAGACATAATAATTAATAGTGAATATATTAACTGTTAATGAATTTGCTAATTTAAGTGATAGAAGTAGTGAAACACATTTTTACAGAATAAAATCACAATGATAAAAATGCTATATTTTAGAAGTTGTTTAACTTTTATATATTACATAACTCTTTTTTTCCATTTTGCAAGGATAATCTTTTAGAGTTATATCATTGGCCTGAATTTACAAAAAAAAAAAAAAAAAAAAAAAAATGCACAAATTATGTGGTTTTGTATTTTGATTTTTAATGAAAAAGTTTTTGCATCTTCAATTTTAAAATTCAAATAACAACCAGAAACTAATGTTGAAATGTTTTTTAAAAATCATCAGTAATATGACTTAAAAGATATTAATGAGGTTCTGGAACAGAATTGATATTATGAAGGATGACAAAATGGTATATGATATGATAAAATCAAAATAAACTTGATAGCTTTTTTCTTCTGAAAAACTAAAAACCTCTGTAAAATAAACAAACTTTTTTTTTTATAAAAAATGAAAAGATTGCTAAAAATTGGCGAAATAAAATAACATAAACCTTTTGATAATGGTTCATTGTAAACTGTATCTGATGAAGAATTTAATGAAGATTTAATTGTTGCCATTGGTCTGAATTAAAAAAAAAAAAGAATTACTCAAATTATGCATTTTTTTTGTTTTGATTTCTAATGGAAGAGTTTTTGTACTTTCAATCATTTCAATCTTACATTTTTCTTTTTTTCTTTACTTTTTTTACAGAAAAAGTGTTTTCTAATTTTTACGAAAAAAAACAAAAAAATATTACTTCTGATTGATTTGATTCGATTTTATCTCTTTTCTTCTTGATAACATTGGTGTTGTTAATGCTGTTGTTTCAAGAGATATTTTCCGAAAAACTGCACTTTTTTTAATAAAAAAAAAAAAACTTTTTCAACAAATTATATTAAGTATATATCGTTTTTTTAATTTCTAATTACTAACTTCTGATAATTATATATATATATAATGAAATTAGTGTTCAATTGTTTTTCTTTTCATTTCTAATTTTGAATAATTGATAGAATTTATTATCATTAATAAACTAAAATTTACCGCTATATTTTCGAGTATTTCGATCAATTTTCACTAATGTTTTTCGTGAAATGTTAGAAATGAAACGATATGCATTTTCAATTGCTGATTCATCATATCGCATTTCATTTTTACTTGGAAGAAATATTGCTGGATGAGTTGTTGTATCCACTGTTCCAATATTTTGTAACATACAATAAATTATGCAATTAAAATTATCATTTCTTATTCAGCCAGAAAGTTAAAATTAAAAAAAAAGGGATTTTGGACGAAGAAATAATTAATGATTAATGCCTATTTTTGCAGTAGAAAAACGAATTAATCATAAAAACTCATAAATTTAGTAATAATAACTTATTCATTTTTAATAATTACTATCAAAGTTATCATTCTTTTTTTCAAAACTTTTAATCTCAAACTAATAAATTTAATAAATATATTTTTCTGATACGGATTAATTAGTAAATATTTGTTCAATAATCAGCTGTAGCAATTTGAATAAACATTTAAAATTTCAATATTACCCATTTAAAAATTCAATAATATTTTTTAGTTGCTGAAATGGTTAGGAAGACATATGGCTAGCTTTTTCAATAATAATTTTTAATTTTCCAATAATAAACTGCAATAAATTGAATAGGCATTTGAAATTTCAACATTATTCGTTTAAGATTTCAATATATATTCTTTTTAAATTGCTAAAAGATAAAGAACAGATATGATTAGCAAACTTAGATATGATATTTGAATTTGCTGTGATTGTTGTTTGCTGACATTGGTTATGAATGATATGATAAATTAACAAATATCCATCCACCGTACCAATCCATAATTGCTTTCGAACACACATTACCGATGTAATTTCGGTTGGTCGTTGAGGTGCACTATAAAACAAAAAAGAAAAAATTCCAAAAAGTAAGAAAAAAAAAATAAAATTTGATTTGTTCTCTATCTTTTCTCTCTTTCTTAATTTTAATTAGGTAATAAATCATCTAATTTTGCTTGTGAGTGCAATTCATAGAGGAATACAAGATAAGTTTTAATTTTCATTGTGCATTAATAGATCAAAAGTTCTTGAAAAATGTTATTTGTTAAAAAAATTCAATGAATATAATGTTTTTTCTTTCTTTCTTGGTTCACAAAAATTTCTCAATACATTTGTTATTCTTATGCTAGAAAATAATGAAATTTATAGGTTAATTTTTTTTTTTTCTTTTTGAGATTATCAATTTTGATTTTAAATCACTTTAAAAAAATTTTTTTAAACAGACTTATTGTATTGTTCTTTTCCTAAATCTAAGATTAAAATGCATTCGTCATCCTTCCAAAGTTGTAACACTTGCGAATGAGCTGTCGCAATCCAAACTCCATATGATGATGGACACATACAACGTATTTTTTCAAACATTGGTGAACTATGAACGGATACCGATGATGCAACATAAATTTTACGAAGTGTTGTTAGCGATCTTTAATTTTATAATTTAGAAAAAATAAAATATTTTGAAAGTTAATTAAATACTTTTTATGAGTGAAAATATTTTAGAAGATGATTAATTAAAAATTAAAAAAAAAAAAAAAAGACAAATATTTCCATAGATGAAATAAATTTTTTTTAATGAATGCAGCGTTACATTTATTTAAATGTTTTTTTTTTTTTTTTTATTGCGATGAAAGAAATATTAAAAAAAAAAACAAAAAAAAAAAACTGCTTATTTTACTGTCATCATTTTATTGATAGAAAAGAAAAAAATTCAAGTACAACGCAAATGCAATAATATTTATTGGCATATTTATTAAGTAAATATATTATAGACTAATATTTTGCATTAAGATAATAGTAAACTATTCAGTGTCTGTCATCCGTTTATATAAAATAAAAAGTTTAAAATGAAATATAAATCTTACTAGTCTAAATATTATAAAGCTTACTTCATACAAATAATTGTCACTTTGCATGCAGTTGCAAGCCATAAAGTATCATCAACAATGTTCATTTCCGTAACAGGTGCTGTACTAATTGGCAAATTAAGCATTTCGATAACATTGGGTACAATTTCGTTAACATTCTACAATAATTTATGAATAAAAAAATACTATATGTACTTTAAAAAAAGAAAAAAAAGAATAATAGCACAGTAAGCAATAATTTGCTTATAAATTTAATTCTTATTTTTTAATATGGATTCATCATTGTTATGAGATCACTAACTGTTGCTCTATGTTTCAGCCTAATTATATCACACTGACTTCATTTTTGTCCTCAATCATATTACAGTGATTCTTCTTTTTCTCATTGTATTGGTTTCGTTTTTCCTATTCTTCAGCTAAGTTTTATATTAAGTGAAGAGAGATGGATTCAAATTTCAAACTGAAATAAGCACAGAATAAATGGACAGATAGGGTCAGCCATTAAATAAATTGTAGAATGTAAAGTTGATTTTTTTTGAGTTTAGTTTCTAACAATTTTTCTATCAAGAAAAAAAAAATTTGTTTGGCAACACTTATTGCATTTTCTTCAATCCAACCATAATCATATTCGCGTTTTTTAAAAAATGCGTAAAATTTTGCAATAATAGCAAAAAAAAAGTATGAATATTTTATCATAAATAGCGATCATCCCTTTATTTTCAATCCAATCATAAAAAATTTAACAGTAATAAAGAAACTTAAATTAGGATTTTTAAACCTTCAAAATTATTTTTCAAGAACTCTTCAAGGACACGTTAAAAATACTCATATTTAATCGAATTTGTTAGGAATAATTTTAATTTTACAAGTTTCTCAACATTCAGTTAAAATTTCCACATTGATTAGCAATTGATACATGTTTGTAGGAACAATTTGTAACTGAAAGGTAATAAACAAAAATCGACAATGGAATGGTCACTATTTATGGTTGTTATATCACAGTGATTACTATTTCCACTTTATCAATTATTATAAAATGAAATATTTCTATTACTCTACTTTTTCATAATTTACTTATTACTATCAATATAATAACTACTTGATTATTCATAGTAACAGTAATAACATGATTGTTTTTAATGACGTGAGAATCTATTTTGTAATTTTTTTAGCTATTAATATATTTATTTTAATACACCTATTAAAGGTAAAAAACATTTATTAGAATTTTCGGATATGAATTGATTTCTTTTCAAATTTCTTCATTTCTGATTTTGTTTTTTCCTTCATATATGTTTGTGTAATTCAATAGTTATCATTTTCATGTTTTGACAGCTTATCAATTGATAGAAGGAGAAAAACAAAGTGTTAATAAATAATTTATTGAAAATATACCTCGAAAATGGTAAGCACACCACTGGCAAGTGCTGCATATAAAAGTTCATCTTTGTATAATAATTTAAGCGCAATATCGGATATTTTTAATTCCCACAACATTTCGCTGTAAAATTAATTATAATAACTTCAAATATTATTATACTCTGCTAATTAAAATATTTTTGACTGAATAATATAAAATAGATAAAATGTAAGTTATGATGACTAAAATTAATTCAATCAATGTATAATTAAATTGTAAAAAGTAATTAAATTACAATTGCAAGAACATTTGTTAATTAAATTATCTGAAAGTATACCTTTTCATATCTTTAATTTGTAATGCAACAATATAACCAGATAATAGTGAAACATATGCAATTTCACCTTCTCTTAATGCCATTGAAAAAATTTTGCAATCAAACTAAAAATTTATTTTTAATATATAATTTAAAAAAGAAGAAATTGATTGAATGTCAATCAATTAGGAAATAATTTCTCATCAATTATATAATTTGAAAAAAAAGGGACTAATTGAATGCTAATTAGGAATAACTTTAGTTTAGATAGCAAATTTTAGCAAATGTGTTTTTGTATTACAAAACTCCATAAATGTTATGTGTTGTAATGATCGAAAAAAACGGAAAGTTTGTAAAAAGTAGAATTTATGACAAATATTATGTTATTCATTTATTTTCTTGATTAACAACAAATTATTTTAATTGATTTTAATCTGTTTAGGATTTCAAATGTTATCTAGAAACAATTTTGTGAAATATTTTTAGAAATTGTCTTAACTTTTATTTAATTTTAGAAAAAAAGAGAAAGAGAAAAGAAACAGAATAAGTTTAAAATATGCGTCTAATTGCAATAAATTTATTATTTAAACCATTATTAACTTTAAAAAAAGTGAAAAATCGAAAGTAACTTACTTCAATATCAAGTTTATCCATGGTTGAAATTTTATCAGTAAGATTGAAACGAATAATAATACCTTTTGTTTGATGACCTGCACAAATGAAACCTGTATCTTCACGATCCTTACTAAATGTTACAACTTCAATTGTTGGAAATCGTGATCTTTCCTGCTAACAAAATACAATTCATCTCTTTTTTCATTTCATTTATTTAATTTATTCATCTAAATTACAAGTATTAGCTTAATCGATTAATTAGTTAATTAATTTGTTTGTTTATATGTTTAATAATTATATAGTTTGTATTTCTAATAGTTCACAAACTGTTCATTAATACTTACTTTTTTATAAACTTGAATTTTTTCATTTTCTTTTATTCACTTTTTTCTATCAAAATTTTGAGACATTTATAGAATTTTAATATTTGTCTTCATAAAATTTACCTCTTCAGTTTTTAAAACCTTTTTCACTTTTTCTGTCGAATTTTTTATTTTATAATGATTCATTTGCATGCATTGTTGCTAATATTTGACATAACTATAACTTATGATTTTAGTATAAAACAGTGTTAAAGCATAAAATTCTTTCATCTGATGTACCTTTATATTTTTTAATTCAATTTTCTTCTCGGTAGAATTATTCAAAAAAAAAAAAATTTACCAATGATAAAGATGTAAATACTTTTCTTAATTGTTCTTTACGATTTAATCGTTCACGTAGTAAATCTAAATACCACTTTTGTTTATGCTCAATTTCAGAACGTGATGGAAATGATTGCATCGTGTCGAATGCTAACTAAAATTTTTTTATTATTTTTTATCTTCAGTATATTTTAAAAAATATTTTAATATTGAATCTTTTATTCCTTTCTTTTTTCCCTCTTACATATTTACTACTTGGCCGATAAATTATTACCACTTATATGATTTATACTTTTCATTTTTTTTCTCTCTTCTTTAAATTAATCTCTTTTTTTTGCAAAATGTTTAAAAGCTTTTTTTTCATTTTCTTTTTAAAAAGTAAGATAAGATTTTTAAAATAAGATTTTTTTTTCATTTTCTTTTAAAAAAAAAAAATAAAACGAACAAACAAATTGAAATGTCTGTTTCAATTTAAATAAAAAATACTAAATACATTCCACATATTTCAGATATCATTTTAACACATTTTACATTAGTGAAAAAAATTAAACATTTGACATCTTATCACATATCATTGTATAATATTTATTTTCATCAAATAGCATTCCTTTTTTAAGCTCATTTTCTTTTTTTTATTAGTTATATTATTTTTTTTATAGCATATTACTAACATTAAATAATCCTTCGTAATCGTATGTTAAACGAACGGATGCTTTTAGAATTTTGATAACTGATATGGTATCATTTCGTTGAAGTACTTCCTTTTCATGAATGGATAAAATTGCAAGAGCAAATCGAAAAAGCACTTTTGTACCATCCAAAAGGAAACAATCCCAAATTCGGATCATTGTCTATAAAAAAGAAGCAAACAAAAATTATCATTATTTATTGTTATTATTGTTCATTACTATTACTAAGTAACCGATGAAAATTATTATACTATTATTATTATCATTTCTTTTCATTAAAAAAAAGGAAAAAAAAAACTCCATAAAAAATTTTTAAACTTTTATTTGTATTTGCAATGAATGTTGCAGGTGGTATAACAAACAGTGGAATAGTATTAATAGGCATTGCCAGATTGCGCGCAAATGCGCCGTGCTGCTAATTTCCAAACGCACATAATTAGCAACATAGTGCATTTACGGGCTTATGGCTATTTTATAAATATTCTTCCATTTGGGGAAATTTTTTTTTTATTAATTTATTAAAAATAGCAAATAAAACTAATACCAGTGTACTTTCTCTTTTTCTTTTTTCTTCTATATATTTACTTAAATTGGATGTAAAAATGTTAAGAAAATAGCCATACCATTTGAAGAAAAAAAAAAAAAAAAAAAATGATCAAAATTAGATTACATAAGAATACGAAAAAAAAGTTATTAAAAATAAGTCCAAAAAATTAGTCGCACAATTTGGAAATGGTAAAAATTAAAAAAAAAAAAAAAATAGCAGAAATTTTTAAACCAAAAATTTATTGATATATTTATATATATATTTTTTTAGGAATAAAATTTATCATTCCAATATTAATTTGATGAGTGAAAACATTTGACATCAGACATCATTTCACTGTCATAGAAGGCAACAATGATTGAATGAAATGTTTAGATGAAAGATGTAGGAAATATTTTGGTTGATTAATTTTGATATGCAAATGAATAATTTGATAAATCGAAAAATTTCCCTATCTCTTCACTCCTCTCTCTCTCTCTCCCTTCTCTCTTTTCATATAGATATGCGAAATGTTTCACATATTTTGTTGACTGTAACAAATTCCAGGATAGAATTGAAATGAAGTAGATAGATTGTTGAATAGGATCATAAATTAGCATATGAATTAATTTATAACTTTTATTGAAAAGTATGCCAAATCATTGCGTTAAATTTTTATCTTCATTTCAAAATGTCACAAATTTTCATATCATATATTTAAAAAAAAATCTTTTTTGCAATTGAATTAATTTAAAAAATGTATTAATTAATGATATTCTGCAAAAATTTTTTTTTTCAAACAAATTTTATAGCAAACAAAAAAAAAGAAAAGGAAAAAAGGAGAACAAAAAGAAAAGAAATGAAAATTTTTATATTCATTTTATAAATGAAAAAGAAATACCATCCTTATCCTTATTATATATAAATTTTATTTTAAAAAAATTTATTTATTTAGAAGCAATAAAATACCTGAAAAGGTACAGCGTCATAAAATAGCGCCAAAAACCAATTTAGTGTTACCGTAGCTAAATCGATGCCATATTGTTCCAAATGTGCAGCTAATCGTGGTAATCTTCTTGCAACCAATTCCTTTAGTACCTCCTATGCAATATTAAATTATTTAAATTTTTAAAAAATTAAAAAAAAAAGCTAAAAAAATTTTTTCCTTTGTATTTAAATTAATTAAAAATGCATTAATTTATTTTGCAACATTTTGCAAATGGAAAAAACTTCTTCCAAACAAATTTCATAGCAAACAAAAAGGAAGAAAAAAAAAATAATAAAAAAAAGAGGTAAATAGAAATATCTGCTTTTATTTTATAAACGAAGAAATATGCTATTTTTATGTTTCTGTACAAATTTTATTATCTAAAAAAAGAAATTAAATTTTTAATTGCTTTCAAATTCATTTAATTTGAATTAGTAAATTTTTTTATACCACAAATGAACAACTTCAATTTCATTTTCAAAGCTATTCCAATATTATCACATCAATTATCATAAACATGCTGATTACTTGATCAGCTTGTGCACCGGTTAATGCATAATCAAAATATGATTTATCAAAATATTTTTCCGTAACAGCAACTAAAAACCAGAATGTATCTTCGACACCAAGAAAAAGCATTGCTGTTCCGGCAATAAAGTTCATTCCCTGACAATAACCAATTATTGGATTATGTAAACAGAATGCACGCAATACTTGCTCTAATTGTTGAATCTGAAAAGTTAAAAATTCATCAAAATTAATAATTATTTAATAAAATTGCAGCAAAAAGAAAGATTTGATTCAAAATTTTAGTTCTCCAAAAGTTCAAATTTGTAAAATTAATAAATGCTCAATAAATTCATAAAAAAACTTTGGTTTAAAATTTTAATTTTTTTTTTTGCCAAAATTAACGATTGTTTATTAAAGTGTTTCAAAACTTCAAATTTTTGAATGTTAAAATTATTAATTTTTAATAAAATCATAGCAAAAAAATTTTTTTTTGATTTCAAATTTTGTTATTTTACAAAGTATCTAAAATAAATTAATGTCAAATTTTTATTAAAGAAAAAGGAAATAGACGGTAATATTATTAATTTTTAATCAGATATTATATTTGTACTTTAACATATGTAGTATAAGAAAATGTAATAAAATAAATTCTACCATTTCATTTATTTATTGCACTGATGAAACTGGCACAAATCTTTAAAAAGTATTTAATAAAAAAATTAAGTTTTTTCTTTTGTTCATTAAATAAAAAAAACTTTGAGTTAGCTTTTTTTTTTTAAATAAAAGAAAAGCTAACCCCTTTACATGTTGGTGACATGAAATGTATATTACCAGGTAATGTGCGCAATAAATCAAGCGTTATTTGTTTTTGATGGTTATCTCTGTACTAAAAAAAAAATTTCAAGTGAACAAAGATAAAGGAAGAAAAAGTGACAGATAAAAACGAACAAAAAATGTGCACAATTTTTGATCAAAGAATAAATTTGACATTATATATTTATTTTAATTTATTAAATATTTATTTGAAAATTCATTTATTTTAATTTAAAACTAAACTATCATTAATATTCAATGTGTAAAAAATCAGAAAAAAGTGATTTTCAAAAAATAAATAAAATTCAAAAAAAAGGAAAAAAAGAAAAAAAGGCGTAATACCTCTGTTTCATCAAGTGATCCACGTGTATTACATAAATCACGAAAGTAATATTTGCCAAATTTTTTTTTAATATCAGCAATTTGTTGATGAATGAGTAATTTCCAAATGCTTGGTCTTAAATCACCTGGTACACCAGTTCGAATAAGCATACGTATTTCACTCTGTATGATCATTTTAAATTGGAAAATTTTTGAAATTAAGGTTTTAAATTTTAAATTTCAACATTCCAATGTTAATAATAAATTCATATCATTCGTTTTTTTTTCCTGCAAATATATGTTTAGTATATTAAACAATAATTTTTTTTTTGTATTAATTAATATTCTATCAATAATTTCTTTTCTTTCAATACAAAATTTACATATTTTTTCTTTGTTATTACTATGATTTTTTTAAAACTGATTACTCTACACAAAATATTTAATGACTATTTATTTTTATCAAAATGCAGCTGCTAAACAAATTGTCAATTTTGATACTGTTATTAAGTAATCATTATATATTACTATACATCTACATATTATTGTCAGATTATTCCATAAATTTTTGATATTATCATAAAGTTTAAATAATTTTTCCCCGAAATTATCCAACATCATTGTTGAATAAATATTTTTTTTCCATCAAAATTATTCAACATAATCACTAAATAATTGATAAATTTATCAATTTCTGCAACGTTATCATCAAATAATTATCGTACTAACATACACTTTCTTACATTATTATCAAATCATTATTCCGTGCATTCTTTTTTGACTTTACCACAAGTTATAAAAGTTTCGAAATTGCTGATTAACATAATTAATTATTAGTTAACTGTTTAAACAATTCTAAAAAACTCAACTTTATCAATAAACAATCATCGCTGTCAAATAATTATCCTGAACTTTTTTTTGATACTATCCTATATCATCAACTTTTTTTAATACAATTATCACAAAATATTTCTTTGATATTACTACCATTACTTATTTTGTAATCTAATATAACTTCTTGTTATCAATTAGTTAATTTTACCTTATTGCAAAGTTGGTAATTACAATTGTACAAGTATCGTTTCCATGCAATACGATGTTGCAAGTGTGCAGATGTGCATTCCAAATAAAGCGCATATAACTGTGTACAAATATAATGCAATGCTAATTCTTCATCAGCGAATGATCGTTGAAATCCAAAGATATCCAAATAATTGCCAAATAATGTTAAACTTTAAAAAAGAAAATTAAAATAAATAAAAAAAAAAGAGAAAATATATGATAAAGACATAAATATATATATAACTAGCAACAAAAGAAAAGAAATTACTAATAACGTTAAATTTAATTTTTTGCTTCCTTTTTTCTCATTTCATTTTTATTTCTCTTGTAGTTTTTATAATATTCAATGAAATTAAAAAAAAAAATTCATTGAATAAATTTTGCTGAATAAATTTAAAAGAACATTGATAAATAAAAATAATACTGAAAAATAAAATTGAATAATGAATTAAAAAATTTTACTCTGTAAAAAATGTAACAAATGAAAATGAGTAAAATAAATAAAATAAAAAGAATTACAAATACCTTTCAAAAGTTGGTAATGTTGGATCAACTGCTCGTGCTTCATTCAATAAATTTATCACACGTTTTTTATGCTAGTTAGAAAAAAAACGAAGGAAAAGAAAAATTAAATTATCATTATAATATTAAAATTAAAAAAAAGTTAATCAATAAAAAGTAAACAGTTTTAATTTATTTGGTATTTGCTGCAAAAATATTTGTATTAAAAAATTTTATTACGAAGAACTTTTTTTTCATATTTACTTTCTGCGTTATTCTTTGAACAAAAAAACGAAATTATAAAATTAAAATATATATATATATATATATATATATATATATATATATATATATATATATATATATATGTTAACAAAAAAGAAGTTATTTTCCACTCAAAGAGCTTTTTAAGATACAAAATAAATATGGTAAGCAATTCTATCGATATTTTAATCTTGTATTAAAAATTCGCTGTAAACAATTTGATAAAAATGAATTAAAACTTACAATATGACTACCAAGCAATTTGACTTGAAGCGCATCAATAGATTGCTGCTCATCAAGCGAAATTTTAATACAACTTTGTAGCAAAAATACATACTCTCGTTTCAAATTATTCAAATCTTCCATTAGCATTTCATTTAATCTGACAAAAACATAATAATTAAATTGAAATTGAAATTAATTCGTCAATTTTTTGATAAATTTTTTCGATTACATTCCAATAATCTTAACGGGATAGTCATAAAATTAAATTTTGTACAATACTAAATTCAATGTTACAATGAAATAAACAAGCTTTTATTAAAATTACTTCAACGAAATAATCTTATCAGTAATTAAGGTACAGTGTAAATCCATATAACAGTTTTTTAAAATAAAATTTTCAATTGTCATTAATTTCAAAATAAAAACGTGCAGTTACTGCTGAGAATAAAGTTTAATTGAAGTTTTTTGGTAAATTTATCAATTCATAGAGAAAAAAGAAATATCAAGTTAATAGAACGTTCAGTTTAAAGATATTTTAGTCAAATATAATCATTTTGATAAAAAAAGAGAACAAAAAAAAAAAAAAAAAAAAGAAAACTAACAATGCATAAAATACGGTAGAAACAAAAAAGACAAAAATAAATAAACTAAATAAATAAAAAGCTATAATTTACGCTAAATGCTTGTTGCCAAAATAAAATTCTCAAAACAAATTATTGATAATTTTATAATGAAATCATCAGTTATTTCAGAAATTAAAATTATGATGAATATCAAGATGAAATATGCAATTGCTAATACATACTGCTTAAATTTAAATGTTTGCTTCTGTTGTGCAGCACATCGTTTCAACAATCGGATCACTTCACTGTTCAAAAATTTATTTCGATTTGCCAACGAAAATGTTTGTTCGGTGGTTAAATTTGTTGTTGTAACATTTCGAAAAAAAAATTTCATTTAATATTTTAACAAAAACAATCTTTTTTGCAGTCTTTTTTTTTTGGTTTTGTTTATTTGTTTGTCTGTTTAACAAAAAAAAAAAAAAAGAAAATAAAATGTAAAGCAAAGTAAAGCGAAATAAAAAATTGTTTCTTTTCCAAATTTTTCTACTTTTTTTTTCTTGTGTTTGTTTATTACTATTTAAAAAAGTATGAGAATAAATACAATAGGAAAAGTTGATAGAAAAGACGAAAATTAAATTTGAAGAAAAACATTACATTATTGAAAAGAAAAATTTTGATTTTTAAATAATTAAATTCAATTATTTTTTCCTGTTTTAAAGTTTTATTTAAAATAAAAAAATGGCAGTTTTTTTTTTTTTTTTATTTTTTGCATATTTTAATAGACAAAATATCGAAATGCTATCAACTTTTTCAATTGTGTTTTTTTTTTTTTTTGCCTTTCCTGAAATTTGAAATGAAATAAGTAAAAAGTTTCGAAGAAATGGAAGAGTGCAAAAAAAAGAAGAAAAAAATGAGGAAAAATGTAATTAAAGATAATGAAACTTTTAATAAGTAGTGGACAGAACCATTGTATAAGAATTATTAGCTGAGTAAATGTCAACTAACATGATATCTTTGAGTTGTGCAAGTTCAATGGATAGCATTTTCCTTCCTTCGTTAAGTTCTTCAATTTTTGCTTTCTGCCTATTTGTGATTGCTCGCAGCCAATTTAATTCATTTTGTTGATAGCTGAAATTATTTTAGTAATTATTAAAATGCAAATAATAATGCGAATAAAATTAGATAAATAACATGTAAATATGTAATAAACTGGTGCTAAAGTATAAATAATAATTGAGTAGAAATATGAGCAATTAGTGAATGTGCAAAACTAAATAAACTAAATAGTAAATAAATGTGTTAAATTAAATAAATCATAAGTGAATGTGTAATAACTTATATTGAAATACAAACAGCGCAAAGATAGGAATGTAAATAATAAGTTAAGTTAAACTTAATAACTAATAAGTAAATATGAAATAAGTACAAAAATTGATAATTTTTGGAAAATGGTCTTGCTTGTAGTGAAATACAAAAATTACCATCATTAATAGTTGTCTTTTTTTTTTTTCAAAAGAAAAGAAAAGTCTAGCTGTTTATTTGTTTAGCATATCAATGAACTGACTAATTCATCAATTAAATTAATAAGTTAACAAATAAAAATATGTGCAAAAAAACGACAGAAATTATTGATCTTATTTTGTTTAGAATTTTCTAACATTTTCTTTCTTTTTTAAATTTATTTTTAGGATTATAATTAAATTCAAATCATTATTATTATTGGAAAATAAATTTTATTATGATTATTAAATTAAAAACAATTATTAACAAATCCTTACTATTCATTATCATATGATGATAATATTTCATTATCAACATCGTGTGTTGTAATTTCAGAAACTCGCATACTTTCGCCATTTGTACTGATGCTATAAAAAAATATTTCATTTATTTAAAACATAAAATTTTAAAAAAAAAGTTGGAAATTTAAAATTTGCGTATTTTCTTATTTTATTTTGTAATTTTTTGATAAAAATATTTTTTTTTAAATTATTAAAACTTTTTCAAATTGCACTGCGTTTCATTTCAATTTTCAGTTTATTTAAAAATCTTTCTTGTTCATTTCAAATTTATTACTAACAAAGAAAAAAAAAGTCCTTTTTTCTTCTTAAAAGCACCTGCTATTAACAGAAATATTTTCAATTTCACAGTTACACTTGTCAAATGGTTGTCCATTAATCCATTCAATGATCCATTTGTCACCTCTTCCATCATAGCCAAGCAATTTTTCCGGCAAATTATTTGTTTAATAAGAAAAATTTGTTAGAAAAGACAAAATTCCTTTTTTTTTGTTTTGTTTATTTGTCAAAATTAGTTATCTATTTTCATTTCATTCACATATAATTAGCATGCTATGCGCAACAAAAGCTTAAAAGTATACCACATATTTACATTAATCAATGCTTTAGGTTTTTTTGTTTATATTAACAAAATTTCTTATTTGAAAATTGCATTGCTGTAATATAACGATAAATACAGTGACAAGTATGATAATATAATGGTGGCTGCAATTATTAGTGATAAATGTGATGATAAGTGTAGTGATATAATGGTAAGTATAGTGATGTAATAATAACTATAATAATGAACACAGTGATGTAATGATAAATATTAGTAATACAATGATAAATAAAATGAGATAATGATAAATATGACAAGTATAGTGATATGATGATAAGCATAATGATTAGTGATATAATGATATGACGGTAAATATAATAACTATAATGGTAGTGATATAATGGTAAATATAGTGATAGGTACAATGTTAAATGCACAATTTTATTATAAAGTTTTTTCTTCACAAATTATTTTTTGAAATTTGCAAATGCTAAAAATTAATTTATTTAGTTAATCTATACTACTCGTCTATTTTCGATATGAAATTCTAGAAATTAAGATGTTTCCAACAATTAAATGATTTCATTTTCATTCAATTAATTAATGAATTTAATAATTATAAATTAATATGCTAAAATTTTAATAATACCATAGAATTTTGGTTGCACATTTGTTTACGACATTGCTTATCATTGTAAGTTAATGATGAATGTGTGGAATATTTTTGAAGAATACCTATAATATTTTGTCTACAAAATGTTATAAGAACTTAAAATTACATTCACCTTTCGGAACTTAATAAATAAAAAGAAAAAATACTCTTTTTTTTTTGCTAATTATTTCTTAAGTAATTAATATTTATTCATAAATTAGTAACGAATATTTTAAAACTTATCATAATTTTAATGTCATATGCATACCATATATCTATTATTATCTATACCTTAAAAAAAAGCAAAAAAAAAAATTGTTTCAGTGCATTTTAATTCTTCAATCTATATTTGCTTAAAATTTTAATAATTCAATTTGTTCATGTCAATAATTATTATTTAATAAAGTTTGTTTTCAAATTTTTGAGCGAAACAAACTTGACTTATTTACTCCAAAAGATGGTAGTATTGATGGTGCTGAGCGGGTGCTACTGATGCATTCATCTCTCAAATCTGTAATTTCTCAAATTTTAACTTTATTTTTTCCAGCAACTTTTCAAATAATTTCTTTTTTTTTAATGCTAGCAAATTTTATGTGATAAAAATGTTATAATTTGACAATATGAGCAGCAACGTAACTAATTAATTTCAGGCTTCTGCCTGACATCATTTTAGTTTTCATTGTAGCTAATTCAGTTACTTGTTTTGTTCCATTTTCTTTGGCGCAATTATTTTCATCGCAATCACTTTCGCTCTAAAATTAAAAAACAAAATTGTTTAAAAAAAAGAAAAAAACATTTGAATCGTTAGCAAATAAGCTTAGATAATCTTTTCACATTTAATATTTTTCAATTTCTGTTTGTTTTTTTTTAAAAATGCTTTCTTCTTTTCCATCAGTTTTTTCCCTATCTTTTTTTCTCAAAAATTTATACTCTGCGCAATTATTAACCGGAATATTGCTAGCATATTAAGTGATTAACCGAATTATTGTTAGCAAGCAAAATATTAACATGCTAAATAATTAATACCACTAGCATAGTAAATGACTAATACTGGAATATTGTTGGCAATTCAATTCAAAGCTTTTTTTATCGCAATTGTTAATTTCTTTTTTTTTTTTTTGTTCTGTCAGAATATGATTATGGTCTAACATTCGTGGAAAAAATTTTTTTTTCAATTTTTTAAATAATATTTGAAGAATTTATTAAACAATAATTTCTTTGAGTAAGAAAGAAAAATTCAAATATTAATACTGATGTTTGCTTCAATTATTTCATCATCATCCACTATCATTTCTATGCTAATACTTTAATAATAATTTAGCATTACTTTCTGCTATTGTTTATAATAATATGTATATAACAGAAAAAATTTTTGTTAAAATTTTGTAAATATTTCTTTAAAAAATTTGAATATAATTTACAAATAAAATATTTAAATTTGTCATTCCTATCAATATTATTTATACATTATTAACAAATAACAGTATTAGTTATATTATTTTTGGAGGAAAAAAAAAATATTTTATAAGAAAATTTCAATTATACAAAAATAAGCAAAGAAAAAAGGATCGATAAATTGAAGTTCATTTAAGCTTTTTTGAAGCAAAAAATAAAGTTTAAAAACAACTAAATTTTTTTTAAAGAAATTAAAAAGATAGTGTAAATTTACTGATGTAGTTTCAAAGTGTATCACTTCAAATGGTTGCGCCTTTTTTCGTCGTACGCTTGTGATCATTTCAATATTTTCACGTCGATGTTGCAACGCATTAAACCATTTTTTTGCGCTTCGTTCATTTTCCGCATCAAATTCTATTTTGCGTCTATCGACGCTGCATAAAAAAATAATAAAATAAAATGAACATTGGTAAATTGGTGAGATTAAGATGATAAAAGAGGTAAAGTGAGAAAAGATACAATGAGGAAATCAAAGAGGAAATGGAATTTTGCACTTTTTTTTTTGAAACAATTGCTGTCACTATTTCTTTTGTTTTTTATTTAACAAATGGAATGTGATTACTTGAATCATTTAATTAAATATAATATTGATGCGTTTACAATTATTAGATTTGTTTGTCCATTTGTTGAAATTTTTTTTCACGTTCTAGTTTAGTTTAAAAAAGATTTAACATAATTTTAATCTAATTTGAAAAAAAAAATCTTGTGCAACATTCTTTAATTCTTTTTCTGTTCTTTTTTCAAGATTAATTTGTAAAAAACAATTCTTTTTTCAGATGAAATTAAATTGCAAAACAAGAAATATGCTTTATGACCAAAAAATAAGGAACAAATTCCGAATTAGAGTAAGGAGTGCAAAATATTTTAAGTTAAAAAACAAGAAATGATTTTTTTTTTCCATCTTTTAAACTAATGTGTTGTAAAGTAATTCAATAATATAGCAGCAAAAGTGCGAGCTTAGTTGTAGAAATTAAATTAAATTCTTTTTAAACTTCAAATTCAGACAAATAAACTTCCAACCATATAAAATGCAATTTAAATTTTTCGTAATATTGTTAAAAAGTAAAATAATTTGTTTTAGCTCCTAGCATAAACACAAAAAAGTTGTTTCAATTTATTATAAGATATTAGAGTTAGTAAACTAATGTTATTTAAACAAACAAGCATTGTTTTCCAATTTTTACGTAGCAAGAAACTTTCTCACACTTTTTTAAACTATAAAATAATGTGTTAAAATAGGGTACAAAAATTTTGGAATTGATTTGCTAAAATCATTTGCATTTACTCATAAATATGTATAATAAATTAATAATTAACACCACGTAATAATATAAAATTGATTCATTTTTATTTCATATTACGTTGGAAGAAAAAAAAAGCTACTTTCCCACCTTTTTTTGCGTTATTTTTAAACCTTTTTAATCATTTTTAAAAATTTTTTTTAAATATAATTTTTTAATTTTTTTTTTTGGAAAAGAGAAAAGCAATAATTACTTTATCATCTTAACTAATATTTCTTTAGTTTAGCTAATGCTATGCTTATTTCAATTAACATTTCGGGAAAAACATTATTGTTTTTAATGAATGCTAACAACATGGTTGGATTATTGTTAAATTGTTATTTCACTCATTAATCTTTTGTGTAACAAACAAAACAAAATAACAATCATATCATTAAAAATCACTAATTGCAAAGTTTTATTCCTCAATTGCGAAAAGGTTTTACATTATGCTATTGCTTATGTTTTAATTGCTCTTAATATTTGCATATTTATTACATATATATATATATATATATATATTTTGCTTATTATTCCTATCATTTCTAATATTAAAAGTAGTAATATGCAATTATCTAATGATATTTGCTAATAACTTAAAAAAGATGGCTGTCTATTCTAGACGTAAATGACGTGCGCAAAAAAATGTGTAAAAAATTTTTCAGTTAAGTAAATATTAAAGTAATAATAATCTATTAAAAAAAGAACAAAAGAAAAAACAAAACTTTGATTTCTGTTGTATTATTTCCATTGTATTATATTTGATTTGAGTCAATTTTTAACGTTCATTAAAAATTAAAGTATGTCTTGCTAACAATAGTTCAATTAAAATTAAAAATTATTTACCTTTCTTAAAATGAATCGAATATTGTGATTAAATTTATTAACTTTCTCCAAAACAACAAGAATTTTCAAAATATTTTTTAACATTACTTACATCATATTTCATTTTGATGTATCGAGGAAATAAATTTCCGTTTTATCCACTCTTAATTTTCATTTCAAATTTGAAAATTTCTCACAAAGAAATGTGATAAGTTTATAATTTTAAATTATTGTTAGGAAATCATAATTTTAAAAAATATGAATTTGTTTCCTTAAAAAAGCTCATATACATTTTACCAAATACATAGTGCAACTTTTTTTTATATCGCTTTAAAAAAAAAAAAAAAAAAAAGAAAACAAATATTATTATTAGCCAATCAACTAAATTTTTTTTTTTTTTTGAATTAAAATTTCTTAGTATCATCAAAATAAGATTTTTTATTCTTCAACCGATACAAATTTAATTCTCAAAAAAAAAAAAAAAAAAAAAAAAAAAAGAATACAATTAATTTGATTTTGAAAAAACTTAAATTTTATAAAAAATGATAAAAAAAATCTCTCATTTTTCCTTTCATTCAGAAAGAGGAGCAAGTCAATTTAATAAAATCAAATAATTAAAAAAAAAAAATTTTTTTCTCTTCAATCTGCAACGAATCATTTTTTTAAAAAAAAAGGAAAAAAAGGCCAACTATTTATTTCTCATATACCAAGAAAAAAAGTTGTTAGTTTCAACGAAAAAAAGAGAAAGAAAGAAATTTTAAACCAAAAAATTAAAGTAAGAAATTAAACATACTGAATGATGAATTCAGTTTCGGAATTTTCACCTAATGTGCATGCGGCATGATCTAATGCAATTTGCTCCAATGGTTTTTTCTTCTTCACAAAATCCATTTCATCCTTGTATGATATTAGCAAATTTTTACATTCTTCCAGTGCAAAAAACATTCGTTTTCGTGATTTTAATAATGAAAATGCTAAAATTAGCAACAATAATTCATTTTAATTTTTTAAATAGGAAAAAAAGTTTAAGGATTTTTTTCCTTGCTTTTCCTAGTTTTATTTAAACTAGCATTTTAAAAAGACCGAATTTTTTTTGCGTTGTTTTGTTCTGCATTTTTAAATTTGTTCAGATATCAAAAAAAAAAAAAAAAAAAAAAATAGAAAAGAAAAAATCAAACATTAAACATTTTTAATGCTGTGATTCTTTTATTATTAAAATTAGTTTGAAAAAAATTGAAATGAAATGAAATGAAATGATTGCTACATTTTTTTTAGAAAAAAAGGAGAAAAGTAAAAGTTGTTGATGAAAAATTTTTTGCCAAAAATTAATAAACAAAATTTTCTTAAGTTAAATTCATATTGAATTATAAATTGAAAAATTTTAAATTTTTCGTCCAAATTAATACTTTTTAGTACAAATAAAGGGAAAATGTGTGTTAAGCATTTGTTATTACGCGTTATTTTTCCTTCTTTTCTTCCTATTTTTTTTTTTTTTTTGAATGCTACGTAAACAAAGATTATGCTTAAATGTTGAGTAAAATACTGTCATACAATAATATTTAGTTTACATTGATTCATACCTACCTCCACTGTTTGTTTTAACATAGAGGTAACCGATAATTGAATACCAGGTTTGATTTTGTGACATTGATATCAGTGTATATTTCTTTGATGTGATATTAATGCCTGAAATTTTATTATTTTTTCTGACTCTAAAGAAAAAAAAAAAACATAAAACGATTTTTGCGGTAGTTAAAAATTCAATTTCTCCTTAGTGACGAAATGCTAATTTTATCCAATTTAGCTTCTACTCATCACTTAAATTTCACCATTTAATTATTCCTAGTAAATTTATTTAAATTTTGTTTTTTTATTACTATATTAAAATATTAAATTTTTTTATTACTATATTAAAATTTATTATTCACAAAACTTAGTACATAGATATTTATTGATGAAAAATAATAATTGATAAAAACATATAATGGTGTAGTTGGTAGCATTAACCAAACAATTTATTTATTTATTAACTTTTTTTGTTTCAATCAATTATTATCTGAACTGTAATTGAAACCGTTGTAATTTTTTGTTACAATTTATTTGAAGCTTAAATATATTTGATAGAAATTTAAGTTAGTTAAGACAGTATCAATAGCATAGGTCATTCAAATCATAATTGCTGATAGTCATTGCTAGTAATAATAACAAATGGTAACAAGATTAAACAAATAATAATTTATTAATGTGATAACTTTGATGATAACTGTAAATTCTCATTCTTCCAACTTACTTATTCTTACTAAAATGATAATTCACTTTTTTTTGCTACAATTAAAATTAGAAAGAATATATTTTTTTAAAGACAATTTTGCTTACACATTAACAAATATCAAATATATCGATAAAAGCAAACCAATAAGTGCTATCAATAAATATCGTTTAAATGGCAATTTTGAAAAAATGGAAAAAAAATTGGAAGATTTTCGATATTTTTTTTTTGAGTAAGAGATGACATTGTCATGAAGCAGCTATGCTAACATCATTTTTGAGATAGCTTTTTATTCATTTATCATTGGAATTTTGATTTTTATTCAACATAAATGTAAATATAAACATAAATATAAATATAAATTACAATGAAAAATATAAATAAAATTATAATTATAAATATAAATATAAAATATAAATGCAAATGTAAGTAAAATATAAACATAAATAAAAATTTGTAAAAATACTTAAATAGTAATGATTATATTTGTTAGATTTATTTTATTTAATCTTGAAGAAATATCATAACATAGATAATTGATAATGATTAGAAAATGATCATTTACGAATGTTCATTTGGTGCTGATAAAATACAGTCACAGAAAAACTTTTTGCTAATAAAAATTTAAATAATTATTAAATTAAAATTGACACTAAATATAAGAGCATAGATACTTGTTTAAAGCATAATAATAAGCTTATTTATATATTTCGATTAAAATTTTTAAGTTGAGAAGGCATAATAGTAAATATAATGTGATATTGCGCATGTTAATAAAAAATTTTTTTTTGCTTTACCATCTGATCAAATTAATCGAAATCGAATTGAAGCAATCATCATTTTCAGATTTATTACACCTTGCATTAGATAAATAAACTATTAAATGAATGTTTCGATCAATTTAAAAGTCAATTGATAATAAATGCTAGAAGAAAAAATTGATAATTATTGATAATTTGAAAACGGAAAATTTAAAAAATTATCTATAATTTCTATTTATCGGTATTTCAAATGATTTAAAATTTTGTAATTATTCTAGAAATTTTTTGTTCAATATTTTTTTTCAGCATGATATGACAGTAATAGAAAAAAATAAGTTAGATAATAACTGTTAGAGCAAAAGAATAAAATTAAAATGGACAATAATTTCGAAGTTACATTTACCAATTTGTTAATTAACATTTTTACTTTATACTTTTTAACTTTTCCTATTTTTTTTAGCGTTTGTACTATTTTTAATTTTGCTTCATAAATGTTTGATAAATTGGTGCACAATTTTTTTCCGAAAAATAAAATAGTAGAAGAAAGAAAGTATAATCTTAGTTTTCTTGATTGTAACTTTCGATAAAAATCGAAAATTTCAATTTTCATTTTGGAAATGTTACATAAGTCTTTAAAAACAGTAATAGCATTATTTATAGTATTTTTCCAATTTTAGCAAAAATTATATGAGAAATTAGTAGGTTCAAAATTAAAAAATAATTTTTTAAATCTTCTTTTTATCAGTTTTAATTAATTTAATTAGCAGTGAATAATCTAAATCATTTGCTGATAATTTATTCATATTTTATCAAAAACTGCACAACTTTTTTTGCTGTGCTTTGATAAATTTTTCCATTCATTTCCAAAAATCAATAAAAATTTTCCAGAAATCGAAATATGTTGATTTCGTTCTTGTTTTACTTCCATAAATTCCTTAGTCCAATGCTATAATCGATTTAAATAAAAAAAAGAAAAACGAAAAGTTAAAAAAAAGTGACCACTTATTATATTTTCCTTTTACAGGAACTGATGAAAATTTATATATATATATATAGCATTTCATAGTCATTATTTTTCCATTAGAGTAATAAAGAGCGAAAGGTAAATTTACATCTTCCTGTACTTTTTTCTTCAATTTTTAAAACTTAATGAGATTGTACGAGTGAAGTCAAGATTTCAATTCATATTTTTTTTGTCTTTGTTATATTTTACGCAACTTTTTTTTTGTAAAGCAATTTTTATTTACTTTTTTTTCCTGTAATATTCTAAAATTTTAATAGTTTATTAGCATTTCTTCCAGTGAAAATCTCAATAGAACAAGCTAATGTGGAGCAAAATTTTTTGACAAATAAAATTTCCCACTTAATATAAGAATAAATTAAGATTTTTTTAGTTTCATTTCAGAAAGAAGGAAAGAGTAATGAAGACCTTTTAAATATTATCTAAACTGGTAGGATAAGTATCTACCCTATTGGGCACGTTAATTTTGATATGAGATGGTTGATTTGTTATGTTCATTTCAAAATTTTATTAATTCTTGTTGCCTTTCTTTGTTACTTTAAATTTATAAATTTGAAATACATTAAAAAATTGTTAATACTTTATTCTATTAATATTTATTAATTAAAAATAAAATGGCGAAGAAGTTGAATTTTACCCATTGAATGTCATTTTAAAATTTTCTGTTACTATGTTTGTTTATTACAATTTACTTATTACATTACATATATATATATATATATGCATCATTATTTATTACAAGTAAATTTTGATAAAATTGAATCTTTTATCATATTTATGCAATCCAATTATGGACTCAAATTTGGTATTTTTTTAGTATATAAATTTATTTTGAAAAATTCTATTCAATGATGCAATATAATTAGTGCTAATATAAAATACTAGAACATTGATGAAACTTTGAAATGATGCTAATTGAAGGAACTTTGATCCATTATATCGCATTAAATTAAATGCCAAGGTAATTCATTAAATTGTTAAATTCTAGATCATTTTCAAATTAATTGGCAGGGTTTTATTTACAATGAGCTATAATAAAAATCATTATAATAAATTGGCAGGGTTTCCAAAATTTATTTCTGCATTAGCAACCAATTTCTAAATATTACATCTGACACTTTAATTCGCTGATAGGTGTAGCTATGACGACAAATGGTTCGATATGATTAGACTATTGCGCTGAATATTTTGCTTAAATTCCAATTGCTTTTTTGATTAGATTTTTATTATAATGGAAGCGGTGTACCGGAACAGAACAACACACCAAGCGTGTAATTCAGGAATAAAAAAAAAAAAAAAAAAAAAAAACTCTTGTATAGAAATCCAAAAAATTTAGTTATGGAGCGATGCCGTAGCAATCTTTAAAAAACTTAAATCTAAATTTGGAATCAGTGGCTAATCTTTATCGGTCAAATTACGTCATAGTTATCAGAGCTAAATCAAGAACAAAAATTAATAAATAGTATTTAAATCACGTATGCCATGATGTACACGGAATTTAAACTTATACAAATTGTATTTGAGTAATATAGCTGATGTTTAGATTTAGTGTATAACTGAACATCATTTTCTTTTATTGAAATAGGTAAACTCGATATTCAAAATTTTTCATTTCAATAATCTTCGCTTTTTCTTTTAAAATATCTTATCAAATTTCTTATCATTTAATACAAATGAAACATGAGTGACTAACTAAAAAAAATTTTTTTTTTCTTACGGAATTCCAATTAGTATTTTCCAAATTTCATAATTTTATATCCATCTTAACTTGGATGTGAACAATTTAACATTTCCTTTTAACGTAAATGAAATATGCATGCTTACATTAACGCTAATTACAATTGCTATAAATTATGTCTCAAGATTATAAGCCAAAATTCACAATAATAGCAAA